GACAGGATCGATAAAATTTTTGGTATTTTTATTTCATACTGGAAATTTTTGGGGTGGGCGCTGGTTCGTGTAGGTCTTATGTAGGTGTTATTACTAGTATGTATGCTATTAGGCCATTTTTTACGATCCTGCGCTGCGGCCCCTGCAGGTCGTCGTGCATACATTGATCCCCCGCTCGGTAGCGCCCTTTATTTTGGCCAATTTCTACTATTTTTCCAGCGATCCGCGGTGCCTGGTAGAGGCTAGTCGGGGCGACAGTAAGCCATTAGGGCCGGCGCCGCGGGAATGACACAGCGGCCCACCGGCGGGTACGAGACAGCGCGTCGGGGTGAAAGGATGGCGGACAAGGTCTACTCGAAACCTTACCCTGCAATCAAGAACAGCCACCGTATAAACAATATGGCCTAGCCTGGATGCCATCCAGGCTAACTACAGCAGTGCTATAGACGAATTCCAGCAAATTGACTTCCTTCAGTTATTTAAGTATAGACGTGTGTTGCTTGGTCCATGAGGGGACCCCGAGGTGATAGCTTACTGATGAGTGAAGGGGTCCCCCAGGCCCTGGGGTCTCCGATCAGCCGAGTAGGCGGGCAACACAACAGTACGGTATTCCCTGCGTAGTCTCCTCCAGACTCTTTTGCAGGCTGAATAAATAGTAGAAAAAAATAAAAAGTCGACCCTCTATGGCCGACCAACTCCCCTGGCTAGCTATACTCTTTTTATGCCGATTTCAACAAGGAGGTCTGATTTTAACCTCCTTGGTTGAAAGAATAAAGGATAGAGATCAAACTTCTTTTTGTCTTTTTTATTGTCATCTTATGTAAACACAACTGCCTTCGTATTTCAGACAGCTTATGCGTGAAATTCGCCTGTATTTATATTTTGAGCATGTCTAGTTTTGACATGTATCTGCTGGAGTACTCTGTATTGATAATAACTAGCTGTTAACGCGATGATAGCCGCCATCGTGAAACGCCTAATCGACAGTACAGTAGCATATGCCTTCTGACTGAAAAAAATGAAAACATGGTTAAAAAAAATGAAAACATGAAGAAATCATGTCAATACAGCCCAAAATGGAAGATTTAAAAAATCCTGTCAATAGTGCCAAAAATGGCACTGCTGACAGGACGATCCTGTCAGCAGTGCAATATTTCCTGTTATTGACAGGATCGTCCTGTCAGCAGTGCAGTATTTTCTGCTATTGACAGGATCGTCCTGTCAGCAGTGCAGTATTTTCTGCTATTGACAGGATCGTCCTGTCAGCAGTGCAATATTTTCTGCTATTGACAGGATCGTCCTGTCAATAGCCTCAGGCATTGATTTTTTTTCCTTCGGTAAACATAATTACATTAGCGCTAAAATACATGCAGCTATCACCTTCTTTGCTGTAACAACTTACCCCGGTAGGCCCTGCTAAGAACGCTGATCCGGCTAACTTGGTAGAAACCTGCTAAATCAACCTTCCATGATGGTGGAAGTTCCCCCCAACGTATTGAAGCGCACTCATGATAATCACCATCCACAGCCTTCTCGGCTCCATGAAATACTGTGTCGGTGGGACTCTGCGTTGCATTCTTTCGAAGGGCCACGTTAACTTCTGCAAGCAATTTAGTGACTTATAGTCATGACAAATACATGTAGATATGTATCTGTGTGCAGGTAAGACTGGAAGACATTTCCGTTAAAAGAAATAAAGAGTTAGTGTCGAGCTTTCGTCAGTTTGCCCATATGCCTAGCCTGAGTGTCAGCCTTGTTAGCTTTCACAGGGCTGACACTCATGCTACCATGTGCCTAGTTTGGGGTAAATTTTTTTACTCGTTTTTTTTTTATTCATCAAAACATAAAGACATAACAAGGACAGCGTGACGCTGCACTCAACTTAACAACTTATATAAACAGCGCCACACACAAAAAAGGTACAATTAACGTTTAAATATACAAAGTTGACATGTGCGCCGTAGTCCCACCACCCCAAGACATTAAAATATTAAATTAAATGCTAACAGAGCTATTTGAAAGATAAGATTACATGGTAACCTCATTGGCGGAAAAACATCCGCCAATCAGAGCTAGGAGGAGAATTTATGCCCATTAACACTTACGTAGTATTTGGACTTCTATATCTAATTGACTGTTAGAAACAGTCAAGCAGAGCTAGAAGCGCTTGGTATCTCCAATGTAAATCTGAGTGAGTTGCATCGTTTTAAAGTTGTACATAGAGGGTAACATTGAGGAGCCTCTAAGAATAAAGTGCAGTTTAGCATTATCTGACATACCATTAAGGTTGACAAGATGACCAAGTAAATCTGCAAGATTGCCAAAAAGTTCCGATCTCTCATTATTGTATAATGGACAATGTAGCATGAAGTGCATGAAAGATTCGCAACGACACCCGCATCTACAAGAGGCACAGGTAGAGAGTCCTCGGGTAAACAAACTGTGATTGAGAGCACAGGTGCCGATGCGGAGCCGAACAAGAAGGGCGCAGGTGTAACGCGGGCCACAATTGTAATGTGGGGGACAAAAGGGGCGTACTAATCTAATAAGGTGTTTCCGGAACAAGGAGTATCGTAAAGAACGAACTTCCAGGTCCAGTTCATTCCAATGACTTAAACAATAGGGTATAAAAGATCTACTAAACCTATTAGTAAATTGTAACGAAAGTCGAAAGTCGTTACTATTTCTTAAATTGTACAGAGAGGTTTGAGAAATTTCAGGGGGGATTAAGTCAAAAAGATATCTCCATGTTAGGCCATTGACTATTTTATGAAATTACTCGTTCAGATGTGACCAGCAAAGTTTGTTATTTTCCATATCCCTCTCGCATTTCTTTTGTCGAAGGAGTTTCACATGCCTTATATTTCAAACATGCCTTATTTGAAACAGACATCTTACCTTCCTCACAATATTGGCCAGTCCGGACGACGTTGCAAACACAAGTGCCCTCTGCATTTTCCATGGTGCAGTCTCCACGGCTATTACAAACCCTGTCTGTTGTGACGTCGGTCAGTTCAATACCTTCCATGTGGGGAGGGGAGCTGCAGCTAGGGGAACCGCTAATCGTAATAAAATCGCTCCTACTAGTACGCACCCAACTCATTACATGCTGTAAACTACAGTCACACCTCCAGGGGTTGCCAGCTATACCAAGTCTCTGCAAGAAAAGGAGCCGGCTAAAGTCTGCGGGTAAGCGCGAGATGTTATTGTTGTCCAGGTAAAGCTGTCTCAAACTGGCCATCTGTAAGAATACACCATCTGAGAGATCAACTATATGATTATAAGATAAATGCAGCCACTTCAGACGGGGGAGATGTGAGAAAACTCCAGCGGGGAGACGCGAGATGTTATTGTTGGACAGGGAAAGCCATTCCAAACTGGTCAGATTTGAGAATACTCCATCTGAGAGATCAACTATATGATTATCATCTAAATACAGCCACTCCAGACGGGTGAGATGTGAGAAAACTCCAGCGGGGAGACGCGAGATGTTATTGTTGGACAGGGAAAGCCTGACCAAACTGGTCAGATTTGAGAATACTCCATCGGATAGATCAACTATATGATTATTAGATAGATACAGCGTCTTCAGACGGGGGAGATGTGAGAAAACTCCAGCGGGGAGACGCGAGATGTTATTGTTGGACAGGGAAAGCCATTCCAAACTCGTCAGATTTGAGAATACTCCATCTGAGAGATCAACTATAAAATTACCAGATAGATCCAGCCGCTTCAGACGGGTGAGATGTGATGAGGAAACTCCAGCGGGGAGACGCGAGATGTTATTGTTGGACAGGGAAAGCTCTTCCAAACTGGTCAGATTTGCGAACACTCCAGCAGGGAGAACGCGGATGTAGTTGTTGGACAGACCAAGCACCACCAGACGCGTGAGGTTGGCGAAATCCACATCAGACAGATTCTGTATGCTGTTAGAGCTCAGGTAAAGATCAGTTGTATCCAATGGTATGTTGGCGGGGACGTCTTCGAGCCACCTACCCCGACAGTTAACCCGCTTGTAAGAGTTACACCTACATTTCTCTGGGCAGGTGAAGGCAGCCGTGACGACCCACAGGAGACCGAGGACAACGACTGCAGCAGATCGGTACGTCACGCGACACGTCTGCATGGTGTTGCTGCAAAGGCAACAATAGAATACAAAACTAGAATATCATCATCATCATCATCCACGGTGTTCTGTGTCTACAGTCGTGTGGAAATGTCCTGTAGCCGCATTCAGTCTTTCTTCACAACCACTTTTTTTTTTACAACAGACGACTTTTCGATACCGTCCGTCATCTTCATTCAGGCAATTCATCCGGGCATCAGTACCTCCTTTAGCAGCGTGACCGGTTTTCATTCAGACTGTTTATATCTAGCTAGCTGCCGCCGCGCCGCGTGCCAGCGAAGCTGGTGTGTTACGCCAAAGGGCGGTTATACCGGCTATACTGATACAGATACAGATCTATTAGTTCTGAATTTAAGAAGCCAACTATACGAGAATAGCAGAGCTCACATACAAGATACACGTATGTACAGTAACCCTAATCATAGAGATGTGCAAAAAAGAGGACTCATTTTATGAGTCCGAATAATGATCTACTGAACGGATGTATACTGATCTACGTGGGTTCACAAGCCTCTGAACTAGGCCACTTCGTGGAGTGTGCTGTCAATTGTGCAAACTTTAGATTCTTGACGTATACAGGTAAATAAATAAAACTGCAATGTACATACAGTAATAACTAACAATGCAGTGCGACATCAATCTATCCGTATCTACCTCACCAGCCAGTAGATGTTGCCACTCTTGTAGATCAGATAATAGTGATTCGACTATACACTTTTAAAGCGATATCATGTAAGACTAATAAGTAAATATGCACCCGGCCCGCTGTATTTTAAGGAGTCTCCTAGTAATCAGAAATCAAAATGATATTTGAGTTTGACAAGTGATTGATTGGTTTGATTCGTTAAGACGTATCACTGGCACTACATCAAGGTACAAGACAAAAAAAGCAATAACAATGAATTGAAATACATAACTTGTCTGTCCCTTTATGCACAAACCAGCCTGAGGGTCTAACAATACAAAGGTGAATAACCCAGACGGGGTGCCCCACCTAGTACAATTGAATCAAAGACACCTTTCAAGGGCACCACTTCTAAATCTGCTAATTATTTATACAAAGCTCTCAAAACTGCAACGGACTTCATTTAAAAACGGTCATGAAAACAATACCACGCATCAATCAGTATTCCAATGTTGTGTTTTCCCTCAGTAAACCATGAGACATAGGCACAAGATGTGTTTGATAACATACAGATCTCCTGATATCATGGTACATACATGGATGTGACTCAGTTTGTGAACAGATTCTAGAAATCCCAAGACTTTATAAGTCGCATTACAACCAGAAAGTCCGAATACAGAAGCTGTAATTATATAGGTTGATGAACTATCAATGATGATGAATACTAGTAATTAGTGTCGTAGACGTCACGCGGTGTCCTTGGCAGTAATTATTTGTCGCCATGTTGAAGTGATGACGCATGAAGTAACCTTTTACCCTGCCAACCTTTTCGACAGCCTTTTTACTTGTAAGGAAAATTGACTAGTCAACAAACTTCTATGATTGAAACAGTAGGAATACTCATTATGTCTGGCTAGCAGAACATGGCTCTCAAGTTTGTGATTTTCTCGTAGTTTCTAGGGTTTGTCTCACACTGCTATTCTTCACTGCCGTGCTATAGTGGTTGAACTAGGTGCATTTATTTGTAGATGGTCTTTCTTGCCCAAAGGTTACACAAACCAGACGACCGGTAATTACTACTCAAGTCAGGTGAAGCTAATCTGTTGTTTGCGTCGCAAACATGGCCTAAGAACAACGTGTTTTAATCAGAGAGATCTAATCTTCAAGTTTACCACAACTGTGTTATAAACAAAATTTTAGAAAAAAATTGAGTTCAGTTTAGCTACTTCTAAAGCACATGTGTCGTCACATAATACGCTGAACAAAACACGCCTGTCCTTGATACCCTTTTGCCATCGGGGTTCACCTACAGCTTCTTTGGAATGTTGCAGTTTAATGTTGTTACGCGGATACAAATCTTTCAATTAAAAAAAATTAAATTCGCCATGTTTTCCGTAGCGTTTGTGTAAGTGTTTGTGCGGTTTAGCACGATAACTGAAGAAGCTTTCGACGGACCGTATATGAAACGCGGGCTTCAGTGGGCGATACTAGTACTATACCGGCCTACCCTACATTACTTATGGGCTGACCAACTCCCCTCGGGCTCAACTCTCCCATAGCGGCAATTTAGATAGGCGGGCGTAGTGCTCTTGTATACCGAAGGAAACTGGTTAACAGCCCGATACGAGTCTGGCTCCCAGGGTAGTCTTGATGAGACCTGCCCTTTACACTGCCTTTAAAACACCAAATCCCACAATAGAAAAAGTAACTGTAGTATGCATGTATATGTTGATCAGACCGTAGTCGTATGGTCTCAATGTATTGCTTTCCTTCTTTAACCCTGTACATTCAAATAAGTTTTGGTTATGATTTTGCAAATGAAAAATTTAAGCCGGAAAAAAATCGGATGAATCCGAGAAGCATGTTTGACATCATAAATAATGATAACTCACAAATAAATGAGAGTTAACGTTTTAAACAAACCGACCGGGTCCCTCGCCTTGTGAAGTCGAATCAAACAAACCTGTCGATGAAACTACTTAGTACTTTTGAGTCTGCTAAATTTCTCAAACTGCAAGTGCAACCCCCCTTCAAAAAGTCACGTCAGGAAAGCATTAATTTTATATCACACATCAATCAAAATTTTTGCACTGATGTTTTGTAACAGGGAGGGCTTAAGTTTAAACCCAGACCAGGTCATACATGTACTTTAACAATGCATATCCTCTGTTTAATGCTTAGCACTCAGCATAAGCATCTTGCAATGTTCCGTCGCCATTTTGAGGTGACGCATGGACCAACCTTTAATTAGCCTGTCAACCTTTTCAACAATCTTAACTTATTACTCATAAAATGAACAAATGACGCGTCGACTAGTTGTAGAATTGTGGAGAAATATTAGGAAGACTTACCTAAGTATGGTTGGCTGAAAGATCTTGTCTCTTCAGTTTGAAACTTTCTGAAAGTTTCCAGAGTTAGTCTTACACTGTTTTTCACTGCTGTGCAATGGTGGTTGAACGAGGTGCATCTAATTATAGATGTGAATCATACCACCGCCTTACTAACTCACAGGTTACAAGCCTGTCAGTGTTAATTGCGGAACCAGTCCAACACGGTGGAGTCTTCACGTAAGACATCACGAGATCGCCGGCAGGCGCAGCGCGGAGCTGCAGAACGGCCCTCACCTCGCTTTCGCGTCAGTAGCACGGGGCCGTGTCCGCCCATTATCATGCATTCGCGCCAGCCCGTGTTTGCAGGAGTACGGGGGATCGCGGGGCCTGTCTCGTACACGGTCGTTGCCTTTTGAAACAGTCGATGCCATATCGCAGAACGGCTAACTTTAAGTGTATCAGCACGATCCCTCCTTTTGCAATTCTACATGACCCTCCCTTATATTTGCAATTAGAATGCTGCTTTTTATAGCATATATTACTTTTTAGTCGTTTGGGACACTCGGATATGGCATTGACCATTCAGCAAAATGGCATATCGACCGTTTCAAATGGCATCAATCGTTTATGAGATGGAAAATAGCCGCGGAGCCGCGCCTTTGAAGTCGTACATGTATTTTGTCGGCTAATGACAAGAGCTATCTACCACTAACATATTATCAACATAGCATATTCAAAACATACCATATAAATACAGGAAGTTATGCTGTAATAGTGTGTGTTTGGCACACAGAAATTAGGTGGGCGTCCCTCCACCGTACAGGTGGGGAAGTCGTGTAAAGTGCCTTTCCCAAGGGCACAACGTCGGGCCACGGTATCAAACCCGGGACCTCACGGTTCCGAGTCCAACGCTCTAACCGTTGCGCCACCGACGCCACATATGACTGACTGAGTGACTGGAAAGAGGTATTTTACGTAGTGCTAAGATCACAAAACCCAAAACTCATAAAAACGGAGTATTTATTGGCCATTCCTTCTAAAACAAATGAAAATGCTTCAGATAGATTTTTAGACTACTAGACCTATGTTTACCTCCACTCTTTACATCAAGATCCTATACTCAAACGAAAAGTGACTTACTAGATCAGCATTTAATAGCATTTTGAATTTCAATTGGTCCCAAGCGTTACTACGTTTCTTAGAATTGTAAGAAAGACTGAAACAGAGCGGACTCTCATCCTCTACTCTTGACGGCCGTGACCACTCCTGATACAACTATAACAGCTGCACCTGCGAGACTCTGAAATGTCGGGAAGTCACTGAACACCACGATCTGAAAATTAATGAGCGTGTAGTAAGGATATGACAAAGACAAAGAAACTGTTTAATCTGTCTTATTTCTCAGTATAATCAGTGACAGTAAGATTTGATTTTCTACCTAATATATTAAAGACACATTGCAGGACGTTCTATTTTGATAACTCCATTGGAAAATCAGATTATTCATATGTACTTACTTTTCTAAAAAAAAGTATTTCCTTGAAAGTTATGAAGTGAAAATTCTTTTGCTGGTTATCCCACCTAATTTATGTCTAAATGCTGAAGTGCTTCCATCACACATCTTTAAACTTAAAAAAAAAAAAAAACTTACCTGGACCAGAAACGACACCAGCACGTTGGAGTTCCGGAGAATGATGGAGTGTGAGGCTACTCTGGATAGGGACAGGCCTTTGGTCAAGGAAAAGTTACTTCCCAAATCTGAAACAGAAAAAGAAGAGATTTTAAACAAACAAAAACCGTAACAAAGACGAAAAGTTACTTTGAACTAGAAAGGTAACATGTTCACCTTTGCATATGGTCTGCTCGGTTAATTCTTACTCAAACACATTCATATCTATGGTGACAGGAGTCTAAATCCCTCCTACTATAGAATTGCAACATGATGTAACCCAACACTTGTTACAATGGTGACAGATGTCTGGTTCAGGTCATTGACCTTATTTGTTTTGAGAAGAAGAGGAAGAAGAAACAAAGCAAAAAATGTTTTCCTTCCGTAAACATAAATAGAGAAGGAAAATTGAATAGGACATATTATACAGTGGGGGTTAAACTTACCACACAGTGCTGACGTCACCAGCAAGATCAAGTTCGACCCGCTCATATTGATGACGTCACTCATCCCGCCAAGGAACAACGCGTTCGAGCCCGCAGACAACAACGTCGTCACAAGACACCGGACGAAAACCAGAACGTTTGTCGAGACTTTGTCCCTCCGAGAGAGCTTACCGACAACTAGGAAGGCCAAGGCGGCCGACATGGCACCAACAATCGCTACCGTGACCTTCAGAGTTTTCTCGGTAAGGGCAGGGTCAAGGTCATCATCGTGCGAATCGGCGGCCTGCGAACTTGATATTAGGGTTACTCCTAACCAGCACATGCCGGCTAGCAGGACCTCGAGACCACCGACGGGTTCGTGGAAGAACAAGAAGCCCAGGAACGCTGTGAATATCGGGCTGGTTTGTCGGATCGCAATGGCTTCTCCTGTAGAAAATAAAGACGAAATTATGATGATGATAAGATATTGGGGACGGTTATCAAAACCAAAGGTTAGTAAGGTGAAAAAATGGTATGAAGCATAACAAATGTGCACTGAAAAATAAATGCTTCGTACAAGGGGTATGTATCATCAGTGAGGTCCTCATTAATATAGTATATGAACATCCAGCAAAAGTATGACAAAACACCACATACTCGTATAGTACAAATGTACTAGCGTTGCCCAGACAACGGAAGACGCTTTTAAAAAGTTGTCTTTCTGCGACCTGCCGCAAGGAGGCGGTGTGAGACCCTAGAAGTATCAACATGATCCAACATGGCGGATTTTGCAAACAAACCGGAAGACAAATAATATCCTAACGTTACCAATACTCTTACCTAGAGGTAACGTAGTGCTGGCGTAGTCGTTAGCACAGAAGGCTACAAAGGCTACGAGGCCACGAAGCGCCAGCCACGGCAACGTCCGCCTCTTCACCGTAGCGAAGTCGGATCCCCGTCGGGCCCAGAGGACGGCCACCGCCGCCAAGAGTTGTATGGTGCATCGGACAACGATCGTGTGGAACAGGGGCACCTCAGCGGCAAGTTGTAGCAGTGTTGCCGACAGGGCCGACAAGATACCCGACAGTATAGACCACAGAGGACCTGTTACAGTGCTGGGTGCCTGTTTCCTCGGCTTTTTGGCATACTTGTCTATACCAGAAGCGGTGTTGTCTTTTCCGTCCATGGCTGATGTGCCCTAGAGTCGACCTTCTTGTTCTAATACGGCGTATAAAGCTGACGTGGCTCTGTGTCGACGGTGAGTCTCATGAAAGATGCCTATCGTACGTGGTAGTTGTCGAGTGGCTAGGTGTCTGTTGTAAGACAGTTATCAGAAGCACACACACAGGTGAATATTTAACCGTGCGGGTACCTCCTTGGTTTGCATCTGCACTTACTTTATTGGTGTCAGTGACCTGTCGGACGACCTCCAATGCCCATGTATGGAATATGTCGATGACGTAATGCGTAGTCTGTTAATTGGATTCTCATGGCTATCCTTGGCATATATCCTCCATAGTCTTTCGTTTCTTTTAAATAAGATGTTCTGTACATTTTGCCTAATTGGGCTAGGTATACAATGGGTCACACGTTTACAAATATGTAATCTCCAAGCAGATCATACGGTGGCAAGGTACTAGTAGTTATCCATAGGCCAATGGATACTGCCTTGCCACCGTATGATCTGCTTGGCCGGATTAACAGACATGTACATAAAGGCATGTAACGTTACAGTGTAATAGACAGTATGACATTCCGCTTTCTCCCTTACCGGTGATTGTATTTATGTAGGGTGGCGTAACAAAAAAACATTAGTTAAAGCCGGCTGATCAAATTTTAGATGTACAAGGAGTATACATCATACATGTCTCTTTACTGCTATACTCACTTGCTTACAACTACTAACGTTATAAATAAACATACATGAAACACAACAAAAGAAACACACATGATCATGAGTCTCCTTTGCAGGCTGCCCAATTTCATGACTGTTTCTTGAAAGAAAGTGGGAAGACTACTCAACTGTATCTGAAGAGAGAAAGTGATTGATGTTCTCTCTTCAGATACAGTTGAGTGGTATTTTCTTTCCACTTTCTTTCAAGAAACATTCATGAAATTGGGCAGCCTGCAAAGAAGGCTCATGATCATGTGTGTTTCTTTTGTTGTGTTTCATGTATGTTTGTTCCCTGAATTTCTCTAAGTTATGTAGTGACTTACTGTAAGTTACTACATAACTTAGAGACATTTACTTACTTCATTTACTTACTTACTTACTTACTTACTACATTTACTTACTTACTCCTACCGAGAGGAAAGATCTACTCTACTCTACTCTACTCTACTCTACATAAGACATTCACGGAACTGGATGCCAGACCCATAGCACAATAGGCAGAAAGTTGACCTGGTGTGGTGTCCAGGTTACATTTAGGATTAAACGAAGGAAACGCACAGCAGTCGTCGTAGGGAGGGGTTCCTTTCTTGATTGGTAAAAAAAAGTGGGGGGTGGGGGGTAGAAACCACTCGGAATGTGTTCCCTTCCTCCGGCCCCTCCGAATGTAATCTCTCCCCATTTAGCCAGGTTCCAGCCGTCTCCCGACGCCTGACAGAGGCTAGAGTTGCTGGGATTACTTTTAGATTTCAGAAAACAAAGGGGGGTAGAAACCACTCGGAATGCGTTCCCTTCCTCCAGCCCCTCCGTAAAGAGTGTTCCAGCCGTCTCCAAAAGCCTGGCAGAGGCTAGGTTATGAAGTTCTTCTTTAGATTTCAGAAAAAAGGGGGCGAAACCACTCGGAATGCGTTCCCTTCCTCCGGCCCCTCCGTAAGAGGGGGAGGAACGTTCATCAATGGCCGGGAGCCCGGAGCCGCGAGGACTCCACTCCCAGCCCGCTTCGCGCTCAGAAGGGAACGCTACCGCTCGTCATCGTGGCTTCTGCGTGCGTTCACGTTTCCGTGAGAATGCACGGGTCACATACTATAGAAATGATCCCTAAAAGTATGATCTTGGCGCCTTATCGTCGTTACGTAACGTAGGTATGAAAAGCGTCGCAATTCTGTTACTGGTTTTACCGTAACTGTACATAAAAACAGCAAATTATTCGCAAATAACAGCATTCAGTAGGCTACATTGTAAATCAAAGTGAACCTAAATACCTACAGCATTTATTATTCACATTTGTTTTCCTTTAACCTATTTAGTATTGTAATCATTCAAGAATTTTGGAGGGATTTTCAGGTTTGCATAGGTAAGTAGTTTAGTTGCATCACGGGACGGAAAGAGCGGGAAATTTAAAACGTCGACGTAAAGGTAAACCCCATTGTTCTTGAACTTCTTCGCTTTCCTGGGGAGGGGCGTTTTTCCGACTCTGGTATTACAAAGATGCGTACTTAATTCGCCAGGGAAAACGTAAAATAGCTTACCTGAAATCGTAGTCTTACTTTACCACATTGTCGAAATTGAATTGATCTTCTTAATTTTATAATAGGAATAATCAGTAATCAAGCTCATGATAACACTTGACTTGACTTACTTGACTTATGTCGAGTCCTGGTGTCCCTGGCTTCGAGACAAAATGGCTGACCAACACTCTCTGTCTTCCACCACTTGGCCCATGGAACTTAAAATCAAGATTTTAACTCCATGCTTGGCCCAAGCAGTCCACCTCCAGGCCACCGTGTCTTTCCTGGGGCAGTCTATAACACAACTATTAAGAAAAGATTATTCTAAACAACAGCGATTCCAATATTTACCAGCAATTTATACGACATATGAAGTATTACGTAATGTAACGTTTTAACATTTTTACGTACTAGCATTCGAATCGGCGGATTATCTTGTAATGTCATAAAATAATGCTCTATGTTCTAACAAACAAACAAATAAATTAATTCAACGTGTACAAAATATTGCTTTTTGTCTACAATCAGTAGCACTATGAATTCGGTGATTATGGCATATTTTAGCAATGTAAAACAATTTTAGGAAGGTCTAAGTGACAAGAACACCATTGCCGAATCGGATGTTGCGAATGAAGAGGACAGTCTTAGTACGGGAACATTGCATCCATTCCACGATGGCGGGAATGTTGATGTAAATAAAGCACATACTGTCCACCGAAACCGCTCGGCGTTTGGCCTTTCCTAGGACGTTACAGCACTGGAAGACTACCACAGAAGGTAAGAGTAGTGTTTTTAACGTATTAAATAGGTGTGAGGGGCGAAAACTCTACTCTAAAACTACATATTAGCTGTGTTACGTGGAACATAATTTTTACGTCGCCCCCCTCCCACCCTAACACGTTAGTAGCAGCTGCTAGCTGCATGGTGTGCTCTGTACTAGTGCCCTAGTAGCCTCTACCAGGCTTCGGGAAGCGGCTTGATAGAGTAGAAACGGGCCATATAGAGAGATAATATACCATTGGTTTTCGCTAAGAGAACAGTTTGTCGCTCCCAGCAAATCATGTTTATTTGGCCATCTTCCTTCTACCTCCATGATTTGGCCATTCTTTTCTACTGTTTGTCTTTCCATCTGCTTCCCGAAGCCTGTTAGAGGCTAGGCCCCGAGGCTAAGGGTGTTGTTGTAGGCGTGACAGCTGTCACTAGTATGAATATAAATGAGGTAACTGATACTAAACAATAAAAATTAAACATTATATAATGTACGACATTATATAGTGAAGCCTAAAGTAGTGCTAGTTTTAATAATAGACAAGTCAATATATGTCAAAGAATGATATATGCAAAGATTATGATATGCAACAAAGGATCAACTTAGGCAAAGGCAGTCCTTAATTGTACCCTGAGCAAGCTACATGACATTGTTTTGAATCATTGACCGTCAGAAAATGTTACAGTTTTCCACCCCAAACATCTGCTTGGAGATTAGATGAGTGTAGCAGGAAATAACTACATGTGTCTTTGACTCTTTGTAAAAGACCACACCCACTCTGGCCTACTGACTCATAACAATTAACAGTTAGTAGAATATTCTTCAATCAGTGACTTTTTGAATGGCAAGGACGTACATGTTTTCAATGTCGACAACGAATATTTGGAGGTGCGTGTTTCTAGCTTTTCAAAAACAGTCACTGATTGAAGAATATTCTACTAACTGTTAATCTTATGTGGCTGATAAACCTCTTCAATGACTCATACCTGTCATTTGATACATCACATGACCTGTCCATCATGTAGCAGACATCCCCCATAGTCCAAACCCCCCTGGGAGGATATAATAACAATGTTGCCCTATTCTAAAAGCATTAAAAAGACTAAATGGTCTCATAAACCTTTTAAATACTGTGTTTCAGACAGAAAATTGTTTTAAAGGTGTTAATGTATGAGGGCCTGCATGGGGGGTCCCGACAACTCTAACGTCTAAGCTCTGTGAGACTGCCGGCTATACATACATATTATGCTGAATTCAGGAATTCAGTACTACGTTAAATTCCAGTAGCTATAACGTATGATGTAGAATAAAAATGGCGAATTACGCTCTACGCAAAATGTGCCAATTACGCTCTACGTTGAATTAGAGTGGTCCGTCTACGCTTTATGTGCAATTAAAACAGCCGATTACGCTCTACGGAAAAGGGCATGTGGGAACTTTGATACAGCATTTTGAAGCGTTTTTAACGCATTCTTTTAATAGCCGGGCATCCTACATAGCCGCTTAGAGAAGGTTCCATTCCCACCACGGTTCCATTCTCTCAGCAGATGTAGGACGGCTGGCTATTGAAATAACGCGTTAAAATGGCTTCAAAACGCTGTATCTAAATTTCCACCCACCCCGGAGCCTGCACAGGAGGCTAATGCGGCCCCCATGTGTTAGTGTTAGAGACATGTGGTGGGTGGGGCTGGTCCAGATGACCATATTTGGTAGGGGGAAGGGCACGGGATGTCACAGACTGTCTGAATCTGAACCAGCTGTCAGGAAGTTGTTCGTGTCCTTGTATCTGACTCAATCATGGCTGCTAGAGACTGTCTTTTCAGGGATTTGTACTTATAGTAATGCTGTGTTAATCTGGATAGTCAACATTTGAAGGTTTGCGCATGTTTTGATTATCATAGCTCAGTCGTAAATGTTACTGGGGACCGGGAGAGACAATTTGAGGGATCGTAAACTTGACTTGGATGGCACTCAGGCTAGCTGGGCTACATGTGTGGTGGATGTGTGGCATGGTAGTACATGTAGATAGTTAACTTCTAATGATTCATTCTTTCCAGAACTATCTCAGAGTGGAACTGTCACTGTCACCAAGTACAGTTAAGGGGAATTGTCATTAGATAGCTATAAAACAATGTCTAGAGTTATATGTTCAATAGGGTTAGGTGTAACAAGTCGGTCGGTGTAATGTAGCCAGCTGCCGCCGCGCTGTGTGCCTGCAAAGCTGGTGTGTTTAATGCTGAAAGGCGGTTATACCGGCTATACAGATACAGATACAGATAAAGACACATACTGTTTATTTCCAGGGTTGAGTCAATGCATGCATTATGTAATAGCACTTGATTGATTGATTCCCAAAAATTTATTATAAGTATTTTTGGATGCTGAATTTGGGTCAGACCAATATCAAAGACATCATATTTCTGTAGTGTTTATTCAGGACTATGATACTTGTATGATGGAGAGGCCAAAGGTCAGAGGTCAGGCTGAAAGCAAAACAACATTTGTATATTGAGCATGCTACAAAATGTACATTTGGGCCATGTGGGCAAGAACATGCAATTATTAATATCATCGTTATCACCTAAAATTAATTGCAATACTGCAGAAGTAATGACTAATTTCCATTCCAAGTTTTGACAAATTGTCATACTAAGACTAGCCTGGGTGCCATACGATTTGTAACGGCAGCCCTGTTACGAATCGGAGACACTAATTACTAGTATATGTAATCATTGATGAAGATATGAATTTTTGGCATTTTTCTTATTTCACAACATGGCTGATGTCTTGCATTTTTGTTTCAGAACTTCTCTCGAAAGTGAATCAGACGAAGGTGCAACTACAACAGAACAAGTAAAATACTTTTAGAGGATAAGATTAACTAAAGACATACAGAACAGAAGGACAGAAACACAGGAGTTCCCGTTTAGTTGAAGTTGAAGGATATGGCCAGTCCTGTCCGAGATACTCACTCAGCGATCGAGATGGAGGAAAGAGCTGGACTGATTAATCACACTGGTGAGTAACTTACTCGAAGGAACTTTACAAAAAATATTCGGTACTAACTAAAGTTATACTCAGTTCATTAAATTTGCTCAAGTTCCTTCACGTGTATTTTTATAAAACACATTGATTTGGTACTTAGATGTATATACATGCAGTTATAGAAATTAGGCCACACCAATTTAATTTGTTGGTTCACGGATTCGCCACTTCATTTCTTTCTGAATTGCAAAAAAAAACATTTTAGCTCTGAATCAACATGAAATACTAGTACATTGTTACAACATGTACATCATTATCTTTTAATCCCTTACAGGTTTAAACAACAAAAGTTTTTCAGCATTTGCAAGTAACTGTAATGATAAGTCTCCAACATGTAGTTAGAATGACTTCAACTGCAAACCTATTTTGTATATTTCATTTGGGAGGAATCTGACCTCTAAACTTGGCTTTTAACTACAATAAAAGCTGGCAGCTGTGTCGTGTTTCATCATTACGTGACTCTGATATCATATACGATATAGGATGATGTCACTGCTATAGGGTCAATAGCGTTCATTGATTTTCTGTCCTGGCGATTATCCAAAGTTTTCTGACAAGCAAGTTGCACAGTATTTCATCACCAACTGTGAAGCACCAAGACGTGTACATGTCAAGTTGAGAGTATATTAACCTCCGTAAAATGTTTTCTCACATTACGTTTCTCTTAAAACATCATAATTCTCATGCATTCTGAACATGCAAATTGAAGAATACTCCATGTAAAATTTTAAATCAAGCAGCGGTGGACTATACAATAACGTAATCACATTGTCAGCCCTATTTTGGAAGGGTTCCCAATAGTTGTTGGACAGTTTACAGGATCAAGCATGACCTGCATACATGTACGGAGGGAGGGTACCTCTCAGACCTACCTTTCTCGGTCTCCTTACGCCACTTGTATGGATCAGGATTCATTTCTTGAAGAATCTACTGAAGATGTAGAGAATTAAGGTCACCCTCGAGCTCTCTTCAGCCATGTTGGTGCTGGTATAGTTGGCTACGATTCTTTTTCATGGATGACCCTTTCTTAACAAAGAACATTTTGTCGCCAACTGCTATTGGCTCCTCTACCAATTGACCATGGAGTTTCGCAGCGGTGCAGTCGCAAATTTGGTGACCATCTGGTATAGGCTGGGCTACGATTCTTTTTGCGGTTGACACAGTCATCTGGACGAAGAAATTCTGTTGCCAACTGCTATTGGCTTCTCTTCCAATTGACTATGGAGTTTTGCAGCAGTGCAGGCCCAATCTTTGTGACCATCTTGGTGTGCGGGTAGAATTTTTGATATGTTGGACTCGTGACATTTCAGTAGCAGAACTACTTTAAGATGGCTTCACCTCCTAAGGTTGTTGTAGAAGGTACAAAATGTTACAAACTGTCTAACTACTAACTGAGTTAGGTTTGACATGTAGATGGATAAGACACTGTAATATAATATTATAAGCATGATGTGATTCCACTATTCATTCATTATTTAATTATTTAATGGAAACTGGACTAGGATAGTATCTTGTAAACTTATATTTTTATCTTTAAGTTACTTCTGGTAGCTTGTGTATGAAATCCTCATGCATGTAGTACATGTACTTTTATTCTTGAATCCTATCAGTTCCAGGCCTTTAGTTCCATGAGAATTCCATCACAAACTAGCTCGAGATCAGTATCCTATTTCATGGTATATCGCAGACTTGGTGTGGTGCCACATATAACTCCATGTATGTTTTACAGTGGTAAGACTCAAAATCAGTGTAACAATTTTGCATGGTGTTTATAACATTACATTTGATGAACCAGACGTCTTTCACCATGGTAACTGGTGTTGGGTTACATCATGTTGCAATTCTATAGTAGAAAGGATTTAGACTCGTCACTCCTGTCACCATATATGTGAATGTGGTTGAGTAAGAGCATACCATATGCAAAGGTAAACGTTATGCATTTTCTTTGCAAATGTTACTTTTCTAGTTTTATTGTTGTGTTGAGAATTTTTGCTAAAACATACGCTTGGTTCATGACATCTTGTGGTTGACCTTTGCCCTCTACAGGATCGCCTTCGAGAAGTATCCCATCATCCTCTCCTTCCTCGACGGCAGGACTGGACAACCTGGCGCGGTCGCCTACAGCCAGCAGCAGGATGGGGTCAGACGAGGGTAAGACTGGCCAAAATACACTCTGTATTTAATCAATAAATGCCCTATGTATAGAGATAATATTTAGGTTAGGTTAGGTGTAACAAGTCGATCGGTGTAATATAGCCAGCTGCCGCCGCGCCGCGTGCCTGCGAAGCTGGTTTGTTACGCCGAAAGGTGGTTATACCGGCTAAACTGATACAGAATATTATACTGTTATAACGTATCCTTATTGACATTGTGTAGTGGTGTAATGTTACGTTTCAGGACAATATGGCGGTTTTAAAAGTTCTTCATTGCATTCAAAAGCATTTGATGGGGAAGAATCAAGACAGTGGCCACTCCCATAGTGAATATTTTTCAATTGCATTAGAACTACATGCTTGTTTCTTTTTCAATATTATTTGAATATTAAATTCTTTTATCAAACACAACCTTAAATGCAAGTTAACTACCATTAGAGAAATTGAATAAGGCTTCAGGCCAAGTCGCATTATGTATCATATCACTAATCAAGGTCTTCTGGCAACTGTCTTGATCTCGTTAGAAATGACAGTGCCAGACTTTCCAATATTCAAGAAAACCATCTTTGAAAACAATCAAAATAAATTTGTGGGTGAGGAAAGTTTATTGCTTATTACTAAATGTGGAATATTTTTATGCTATGCATCAATCTGATCATACATGTACATAAAGCTACATAATACAACACAGAATCATTGCATTTTCAGCCATATCTAACTTAATTTTCGTTGACAGGGTGACAAATACTACTGTTTTGAATGGCGGGAATATTGCAGCTACAGGTAAACAACAGCGCACACAAACAACAATAATGAACACTACCATACTGTCCATATGATGACAATTCCTTTCTACTAGTAACTCCAGTGTTTCTCTATGATCTGTGAAACGTGTACAGTATGTACCCTTCCTCACAGGCTATTCACAGAAAACATTCAGGTTCTGTGTTTTTATACCAACACCAGTATCAAGATATCTCTTTAAAACTATTTAACTTTCTTTGCAGTGTTGACACCGAAACATATTCTAGTGGACTCTATTGTTTTGTACTGCTCAATTCTTTTCTCTTGCTTTGTACATTCAATCTGTTTGTGAATGTGACTATAATTATATCAGAGAGACTGAAGATCCTTGTTTTCTGACAATATATATATATATATATATATATATATATATAATTGTAGCCACTACCAGGCTTTTTTTTCAAAGCTAGTACATGTATATAATGGGACCAGGTGACATACTGATACTTGCTTATATTTAGTTTCAAGGCTAGTGTGCAAGGAGGTTTGAAATTTTGATTCTATCCAAACTCCAGACTGTTCTTTGACATATGCTGTATCCAGAGTTATACTTTCTATTCACATCTCACAATTATACACATCTAATTCAGATAACTGTTGTTTCTCTGCCAGCTGACAGGTCTACTATTAATCAATAATGTGATTCTTCCCTGATTGACTGTTGATTGTCTAATCTTTTTCGTCATAGCCCCCCCCCCCCTCTGGCAAAACCTGGGTGCCAACTTCTTCTCACTAACCATGTTTTCTGTGCTGAAGCCATGATCTTGTAATCTCAATTTCTATTTATAAAATTGCTGCTGGATTAACAGTTTACAGTGTTGTTTGTTTGTTTATTTGTTTGTAGAGCTGCTGGATTTAAGGAAAACCTAGTAGTTATATTTACTGAAGGAAAACTTGTTTTTGCTGTGTTTCCTCTTCTTCTTCTCCAAACACTGACCTCTGACCTGGTCAATGACCTGATTTGTTGACGTCTCTCACCATGGTAATATAACTGGTGTTGGGTTACATCATGTTCCAATTTTATAGTAGGAGGGATTTATACTCCTATCTGACCATATACTGTATATGAATGTATTTGATTAAGAATTAACAGACCATACCATATGCAAAGGTAACAATTATGCATTTGCTTTGCAAATGTAACCTTTCTAGTTTATTAGATGCATTTTCACCACCGAATAACAATATACATGATTGTTTACAGTGTTGTTTGTTTGTTTGTAGCTGAGGTCACCAGCGAGGTAACCAGCATCGATGCAGGCGAGGTTTTCTTCAGCGCGCCGGACTTGCGAACGCCAGAGAGCAGCGGCCCTCACGGCCTGTACATGTCCGACGGTGTACGCCGTATCGACTACGTGCTCTCGTTTTCCATCACCGACCCAAACATCGAAGCAGAGAGACAGAGACTGAGGAATGAGTTTGAGAAGAATTTGGAAGAAGAAGGGCTAGAGTTGGAGAGAGACTGGGTGGACCCCAGGCCTGTGTTAGGTACAAACAATACTGTATTTCACTTTATGTTCACGGTAGTAAAAGTGCAAGGTCTGAGAAAAATGGATATGTTCAAAGAACTATATATTCACGGTGGTGATAGGTGCAGGAAAAAGAAAGTCCAGGAATTATTTGTTAACTGTAATGTTAAGTTCACGGTACAGAAGTGACAGTGAAAACAGTGAACATAACAGTACCGTGAAAAAATCAAGAATTACAGTAACCATTATTCTGTGAAAAGTTTCATCAGGTTGGTAATTCACTGAATAAAGAGACTCTTTTTTCACTATAGTCTGCTGTGATGTAGGGATTTATTTCAAGTTTCTGTCAAGGTCTGTTCTAATTATAAGCATCTTGTAATAAGTTAGCAGTCAAGATCATGATAACAACCCCTGATCTATTCATACATGCCTGCCCTAGACAATGAGTCAGATGGAAATGGTGAAATTCAGCTAAAAGAAGGTAAGATAGGGCCAAACGCTGAATGTGTTGTGATGCAGCGATGTTGTGTCGTTCTCATAGTTTTTTTTTTGTTCTTGTTGGACTAAACAATTCTTATGTGGAGTTAGTCAAGTTTTTGTATCTGCTATTGTGGTGCAACAATGTTCTGGTGTTATGTCGGACCAAAGGTATCTTAATTTTCAGTTTGTTACATGTTTGTTAAGTGTTAAATGTACATGTACAGTGAAACAGTGTCTGTGTTGGATATGCTTTATCTGTACAGTTAACCTTCTGTTGGTTGATGGAATTTTTGGGTCGGCTACACTACTTGTTTTACTGTTTTACGTGGGCTGTGCTTGGTATAACATGACAATACTGTATCACAACAATATGATGAGTGTTGGTTTAGGAGTTTTTGTTTCTGTTGAAAATTTTTGACTGATTTATTTACATGTATTTCTGATGAAAGGGGAAAGAAATGATGTAATCTTGATCCAATCTCTTCGTATGGTCCTCAAAACATACACCACCATGTACATGTGTTTAACCAAAGTTATGTTGTTTTACTTCTAGGATCCAAGAAGACCTACTTTGTGAGAATCCATGCACCATGGGAAGTGTTGACAAGACATGCAGAAATCAGTCAGGTAAGAATTATTCTAATATGGTACATTTTTATCATGTATTGATACTAAATAAAGGTTAGCATTTATTATAAATATAGCCATATCGTTGGTTCATAGCAATGTGAGAGTTGAGAGCAACAGACCAAGATAAACAGTTTTAATTAAATGTACAGTTGTAATCCTTGTCTTTTCTTCACTATGCTAAAATCCCCCCTTGTTTGATTCAGGTACAAATGCCCATTTTGAGCCCTGCCAAACCTATATCATCGGTCCATAGCTATGTGAGAGTTCAGAGCAACAGACCAGGGTACCAATTGTTATAAATGTACAGTTGTAATCTTTGTCTTTTTTTTGCTGTCCTAAAATCCACCATCCAAACCCCACTTTGTTTCAGGTACATATGCCTATCAAGCGCATTGCAGTACCTGTATCATAGGTCCATAGCTATGTGACTGTTTAGAGCTGCTGAGTAGGATACCACATGTTGTAATTGTATAGCTGTAGTCTATTTTCTGTCCTTAACACCTCCAACCCTCTTTGTTTCAGGTCCGAATGCCCATTAAGTCCCCTGCAGTACCTGTACCTGCACAAGGTGTGCTGCAGAAAGTTACAGCCTGTCTGGAGAGACTACTCGACCCCTTCAGGTATGGACATCTTAGGTTGTCTTAGAAACTTTAGAAATTGCCTTATAAAGTCTTTTTAGTATCTTGTGTAAATCTATCTGCCATTCAAATGTTGCATTCATTCTTGGAGTAAAGTATGGATGGCATTCAGCACCATGGACAGACCTATTTACAGTTGTGGATGGTATTCACCACCAATGACAGACATGTCCAGTATTGTGGTTGGCTTTCAGCACAAGAAACCGACTTATTCAAAGTGTTGATGGCATTCAGCACCAAAGACAGACCTATTCATACATATGGATAGTGTTCAGCACCAAGGACAGACTTGTTCAAAACTGTGGATGGTGTTCAGCACCAAGGACAGACCCGTTAACAATTATGGATGTTGTTCAGCATCAAGGACAGGCCAATTCACAAGAGAGACTGACCTACTAGTATTCATATGTGTGGATGGCATTCAGCACCAAGGACAGGGCTATTTGCCAGGCTTTTATAGATTCTTTGCACAGAAGAATAGTGAGAAAAAGGCATATTTTCACAGAATGATTGAAAAATACATACCCTAATCTTTTCCCCAGATTACCAGAAGAAGTGGAGGCCAGATTCAAGCCCAAGAAGTTCACCTGCCCTTTTAACCGTGAACGGGAGACGATGTTCGACATCAAGGAGCCGGCCTCGTTTTTCCGGCCGCATGTCCGAAGTCGCATCGCGTACTCCATCCTGCTGAGGAACAAGTTCGGACACGGGGCGACAGAATTCGGTGACAGTTGGTGTTGATGTTTGTTCATCACTTTTGTTTTTTTCACAACTCAACAAGGAAGGAAGGAAAGAATATAACACAAAAACACTGTCTTATTCCTTATAGTCCTCTTCCGACAATTAGGCTAATGCAACATTGGATCCAAAACGATACTTTTGTTTATTCACAAGTCAACAAGGAAGGAAGGAAGGAAAATAATGCAGAAACACGGTTTTATTCTTCACAACCTTCTTCCAATGGTTAGCCTGACAGACAATGCAAATTTGGATTCAAAATCATTATGATGCTTTTGTTTTTTCACAAGTCAACAAAAAAGTAAGGGAAAAAAGAACACAGAACATTCTGGATAATCATCTTTTCAATCATCTCTAAGAGAATTTGTGATTTATGAGCAAAAGTGATGGAAAACATCTCAAATACAATGTAACATGCATTGCGTATGATGGATATTTCTCTGCTTTTAAAGGTATGAATTTTTTTATATCTTTACTTTTAAGTCTGCTATAATAATATTTTCTTTATTAAAAGTGCAACATCTTCCCTCCTGACTACAGGGATAGCGAAGGCCCTTGCACTGGGTATGTATGACGGCGCATACCCCATCCATGACGGGGACTATGACGACAAAGCGCCCGACAACGACAGGAAGACGCTGTACGAACACTGGGCGCGCTTCAGCTGCTTCCTACGCTACCAGCCCGTCGACCTAATCAGGGACTACTTTGGGTCAAAGGTCAATAGTTCATGTCTATTTTGGGTCAAAGGTCAATAGTTTGTGTCTACTTTGGATGACAGGTGAATAGTTTATGACTACTTTGTGTCAAAGGTCAATAGTTCATGACTACTTTAGGTCAAAGTTCAATAGTCTGTGTCTACTTTTGGTTAAAGGTCAATAGTTCATTACTCCTTTGGGTCAAAGGTCAATAGTTCATGATGCACTTCAGCAAGTCTTTGAACCTAGCTTGAAATTCTCTGAATAATTGTAAACTTAAATATAGATATAATAAGAAATAAGAAACAACTGGTTGTTTTCTGTGTTGCATATTCAGTTCAACATATTCTTTAGATAAAAAAGATGTGAACATAGGTTGCTGCATTCCAATGCCATAACGGCATTACAGATCATAAATCCTCATTGACAAGCATGACATTCATTTTTACTGGTATCTCTAATTACAAGTTGAATGTCTTTCCCCTGCAGATTGGGTTTTACTTTGCCTGGCTGGGGTTCTACACCTGGATGTTGTTTCCCGCGGCGATTCTCGGCCTGGTGGTGTTTATCTACGGCATCGTGACCATGTGGTGGGAGAACCAAGTCAGCGACGAGATCTGTAGGGACTACTTTAACGAGACGATGTGCCCGCTGTGCGACAAGTTCTGTGGGTACTGGAGTCTGGGGGAGAGCTGCCAGTCTGCGATGGTAAGTTAGTGGTTTGTTTAAAGTTAAAACTTTTGGTCCAACACAAAGAAGTTCTCTTACCCAGAGCTTTCGACCAGTCACTGTGGTCTTCCTCAGTAGACTGACCCAGTGAGGCTTGTTACGTGGCTTCTTTGAAGTTTGTGATTTGATTTGATTTGATTTGATTTATTGAAATTGCTACAGTACAATACATGTGGGACACAGGCAGCTGTTGCTGGTGTTGTGTCCCACACATAGAAAGAAATACAGGACAGACAATACTCATTTTCAGTTGAGTTAAGTGGGGAAAGTTGTGTAAGTAAAGTTCCTTTCAAGTCTAGGACAGCACACTTGGCAATTCTCCAAGGAGAGGCTTCCTCAGGGACATTGAAATCTTGACCCTCTGAAATGCTACTTCTTGCATTTAGTGGGGCAAATTTTGCTGGTAGACTTAGCTTAGTCTAGGTAGTGTAATTGAATAATAATTTTCGACATGATCATTGATGTTTCAACTCTGTGAAATGGTACATGTATGTTGTACATGACTTGTGTGTAGATATTATATACATACAATACATCTGACTGAATAGTAGTAAGTGCCTTGTATATAATAGCTCTGATTGGTCAATGTTTGATACAGTTACATACATGTAATAACCAAAAACCTGACCTGTGTGTGTGTCTAATGTGTAAGTACTGTCCAGAAGGAAAGGAGTGTCCAGGGGCGGTGGTGAGTACAGGGAAGCCAAAACTTACACAGAGAAATACAAATAGCATGTGTATGGTGGTACATACATTTGTATGGCAGCATTGCCTGTGGGGTTGTGCATTGGCCAATCAGAGCTACAGCTAGGAATGATTGACAGCTTTGCAAATGAAAGTTATATGATTGTACCCTTTTGCAACTGTACAGTCAGCCAGAGTTCATCTTCAAGAAAAATGTTTTGCATACTGAGTATTCACTCTTCATAATTTTGAACTCTTTTCCAAGGGATATGTGGAAGAGTCAAATTTAGTGATTTGTTTTCAATTTCATGGTTCATAGAAGGTTAAACAATGGTACAAAAGCTGAGTTCATGAGCATTTTTTTGGACTGCAAAATACTTTTCATGCTGCTGAGCAAAATTGCAGGCATTTACATGTCAGCTGGTGTATGAAGCTGCTTCATTCCTAGCCTGACCAAATCATGCTTCGAGCCGGTGGTAACTACATGGACTAAAGGATGGCACCCTACGGAAAATCCTCATGTTTTAAAAAACAACCATGCCATTCATTTCAGGCGTCTCACCTGTTTGACAACCCTGCGACGGTGTTCTTCGCGATCTTCATGTCCCTGTGGTCGACCATGTTCCTGGAGCTGTGGAAGCGGCGCCGCCACGCGCTGCAGTACCTCTGGGACCTGCAGACCTTCAGGCAGGAGGAGGAGAGACCCAGGCCACAGTTCGAAGCTCAGGTAATATAAGACATCTGACCCTAACTGACTTCAAACAAGAGCAGAGACCAAGGCCACAGTTTGAAGCTCAAGTAGTAAAGATGTCTGATTTATCCTTGTGCACTTGATGATTTGTAGGAAAGCTTCACCTGTATCTCCTGTATCATGAAAATCAGATAGTTGCAACCAAGGCTCTTGTTGCAACATAACAGGCTCGATTGAGTTGTGGATGGTGTTCAGCACAAGAGACTGACCTATTCAAGAGTGTTGAAGGTATTCAGCACCAAGGACAGACCTAGTTATAATTGTGGCTGGCATTCAGCACTAGACACTAGGACAGGTTTATTCACAATTAGGGATTGTGTTCAGCACCAAGGACAGACCCAATCACAATTGTTAATGGTGTTTAGCACCAAATTATGTAGGGTGTTTACACATGGCATTGGAGCTGAATGTGTTTTTGAATGTGTTTTCACCAAGGTTTTATGAAACTGTAGAAGGAAATGTGCAAAACATGTTTGAACAAAAAACTATGAAACTAACAGCAATCAATAGTTTGTGCTTATAAACCTGCATTTCCCCTCTGGTCTCTCAGTCACTGACGAAAGGTAGTGGATACTAGCTGAAACGTCTGACGTTTTCAAAATCATATCCAGTTGCTTGAGTAACTGCTTTTTGGCGTATTGTATTACCTGGATGTCTAACCTTCATCGACAAAATGGCAAAAATGTGCCAAATGTCCTCCAGGTCCGCCACACGAAGAGAAACTGGATAACCCAGGAGGATGAGCCATGGCTGCCCTTCGTCTACCGCATCCCCCGCTACATGCTGTCTGCTGTGTTGGTGCTGTTTGCTGTAAGTACCTACTTACATTAGAGATAGGCAAATGTCATTATGTTTATCTTTGCAGAAGGAAACCATTATATAGATATTGTTTTTGCTCAGTTTCTTCTTCTCCAAACACAAAAGGTCAATGACCTGAACCAGATGTCTATTACTATGGTAACTGGTGTTGGGTTACATCATGTTGCAATTTTATAGCAGGAGGGATTTAGACTCCTGTCACCATATACATGCATTGCAAATGTTACCTTTCTAGTTGTACATTTGTACATGTATCCACTTGTTTGTTTTTAGACCTTATGATAGTCACTCAGACAGTACTTTAAATTTATTGATGTGTCAGTGAAGATTGTAAATTGTTGTCGTAATTCCAGATCGCCCTGGCGGTTGGCGCCGTGTTTGGTGTCATCATGTACCGGGTGTCCGTCCAGGCGTCTCTCGCCCTCAACATATTTTCTAGAAGCTAGATTTGATAGTAACTTTCTACTAATTTGAGACAACTTCCTACTAATTTGGGTGGTTGTCTTAGCCAAGTTTGACTGTGTTTTACTCCAGATCGCCCTGGCGGTCGGCGCAGTGTTCGGTGTGATCATGTACCGGGTGTCCGTCCAGGCGTCTCTCGCCCTCAACAGGAACGAGCTCATCGCAACCAATGCCAACCTGGTAACCACGGCGACCGCCGCCACCATCAACCTGACCATCATCCTCATCCTGAATACCATCTACAGCCACATCGCAGAGTACCTCACCGAGCTGGAGCAGCCGAGGACGGAGACGGAGTTTGATGACAGCTTCACCTTCAAGATGTTCCTGCTGCAGTTCGTCAACTATTATTCTGCTATCTTTTACATCGCATTCTTTAAAGGTACCGTATCCCATGCAGTTTTAGGAAACAATTAAGTCAATATTCTAGGGAAACTACACTATCCCAGTTTGAGGACAGTTTCACCTTCAAGATGTTCCTGCTGCAGTTCGTCAACTACTACTCTGCTATCTTCTACATTGCGTTTTTCAAAGGTACCACATGCAGTTTTTAGGGCCAGATATTTCAAAGTCAATATTCTAGTCACTTATCTACAAGTATATAGTAAGGCCACACCGACTTAATTTTATGGACATCCTTTGAAGACACCTGTGCACACAGGCAAATAAAGAAAAAATCCAGCCAAAGAAAAGTGCTGCTAAACCACAGGAATACAAACTTGATATTGTGAATTGCAGTAGTACATAGAGACTTTTACGACAAACCGACACATGCTGGCCTTTTCCGGCATTTATGAGTCAGCACTGTACTGATTTCTTGAGTTTTGAGGAGCCTCGGCAGCCTGGGTACCATTCTCCGTAGTCACAACCGGGTCCCGGTAGCTACCATAGACCACAGAGGATGGTACCCAGGCCAGAGCCTTGGAGGTTTTGACCAATTTTATTGCATTGGCTGTCTTTACAGGGCGTCTGATCGGTCGTCCGGGGAAGTACGTGTACACGCTGGGTTATCGTCAGGAGGAGTGCTCGCCCAGCGGTTGTCTGGTGGAGCTGTGCATGCAGCTGGGCATCACCATGGCAGGCAGTCAGCTCATCGCAAACAACCTCAGGGAGATCTTCCTGCCGTATGTCATCATTTGCTCATTCGTTGATCGTAAAAGTAGTGTCTACAGTTTACTTAGCCATCCAAGGCTAGAAATATATAAGTTATAGGTTATATAGTTATAGTTATAGTTATATAGTTATAGTGCAGGTGAAATTGGAGCTGTGCAGTGTATTTCTGAGGTTTATACCTGATGTCCATGTACTGGATTTATGTAAATATACTAGTAGGTGTATGTGGATTTTTTTTGCTGCATTGACTATTAACACTTTTCAATTACTAGTATAAATGAAGAAACGATGGCAATGGTTTATGAGCAGTTTTACAGTAGTATGAACTACATATTTCAGTCTCAGTGGTGCCAGAAAATTTGTCTGATGCAGGTAATTTTCAATATTACCTACAACATGCAGGTATGCAGAAAAAAGTATTTCACGTTTGTAACTGATTGAACCCTAATGTTTTTCCCCCTGAATGTCTGCAGTAAGATCCTGGTGTGGCTGAACTTCCGGTGGCTGATCCAAGCTATGGCAGGGAAGTCTGAGGAGGAGAGGAAGAAAACCGGCCTGTCCAGGTGGGAGCTAGACTACCTCCATGTGGACATTGGACCCAGGGGACTGTTCTTCGAGTATCTGGAGATGGGTGGGTACATCTTAGGGACTACCACAGCCTTGCGTTCAATCATTTATCATGCTAGGAAAATATGCACTACTTCTACATGTATGTCTTTGTTGCTTTAGTATAATTTTCCTTCACTTTCAACTGTTGTGAAAGATGTAAGAATTGTTTTAAGCAACCAAATAAACTGACTTAAATAGACTTAACCATCCACATGTCCTTTTTCTAAGCCTTGCATTTTCACCTCTAGTGTAAAAAGTTTAGCTTAACTTCCAGTAGTACATACAAGATTTATGAGTGTCTCCAACATAAATGTCTTGATGTCCTCAGCTTGGTACATTATACAGCAACAGTGTCACATAAGTTAGACTACTACATTTGAAAAGACTTTGAATGCATTGCAGCATAATACCATATTATATTGTACATGCATTACAAATTTGAGCACCTTTCCTCCACAGTTATCCAGTTTGGGTTTGTGAGTCTGTTTGTGGCAGCGTTCCCGCTGGCCCCTCTCCTGGCCCTCATCAACAACATCCTGGAGATCAGACTGGACGCACAGAAGTTTGTCTGCAGCTTACGTAGACCCATGGTGGGGAGGGCGGCAGACATCGGTGTGTGGTACTACATCCTGGAGGCCATTTCTACCATCTCTGTCTGTACAAATGTAAGTACGGTAGTAAGCGGTTACGTAGTAAGTGGGTTAAAAAAGAGACTTGAAGTTGAATAAAAGTTGTGCACAGTTACTATCTAATGGTGGCTTCAAATGGCTTAAGGCAAGCAGACACAAGATCAAGAAGTTATGGGTTTGATTCCATGCATTGCTGGCTAGATGCTGTGTGTCCTTTACTTACTCTAACCAAGTGTAAAATGACTACCTGTGACTTTTGTTGGGAAAGTAAAAGGCAGTGGAAGAGAAATGGGCTCAGCCTTCCAACATCATGCCCTAGACTCAGTAAATCAACAACACACTGGACTTATGGCCTCAAAATTCAAATGACATGTACGTGTTTGACTACATGTATATGATTAAACCAAGCTCATTACATACTGTTTTTGCTTAGTTTCCTCTTTCTCTTCTTCTTCTCCAAACACTGACCTCTGACCTGGCCAATGACCTAATTTGTTGACTTCTGTCTGAACGTATATATGAATGTATTTGAGTAAGAATTAACAGAGCAGACCATATGCAAAGATAGACATTATGCATTTGCTTTGCAGATGTTACCTTTCTAGTTCTAAATACTGTGTCTTTTCCCCTATATTCCCCAGGCTTTTGTGATTGCCTTTACCTCTGAGTTCATCCCCCGGCTGGTCTACACCAGAGTGTACAGTCCTGACGGCTCACTCAACGGATACCTCAACTTCAGCCTGTCTTACTTTGAGGTGAAAGACTTCAGAGAAGAAAACACGCCAAGAAACCCACTCCATCTGGGGAACAATGTCACGTTTTGCAGGTTAGTGATTTGCATTAACACTACCTGGCAATTATTAACTGAAATTAAATCACAGTCAGATTTGACCATAGATTTAATGCTGTTTTCATGTCAATGACTCTTTATTGCAGCAACTTCAATTTTATGTAAAGAGCAATATCTGTAAGACTTTTTTGAGATATACATGTAACGGTTATGTGTATGAAATATCAAATACATGTGTATGATTAAACTGTACTATATGAAGCCCTCAGAACAACATTTATTTTAAGAAAATTTATCTTGCCTGTGATTGTTGTAGACTTGTCTACAAAATGATTATGTAATTGTCAATGAATGAAATGTTCTTCTACATTTTTATTTCTGATGATGATATTTTCTCCATACTATTAGGTACCGTGACTTGAGAGAGCCGCCATGGTCAGAGGACCCTTACGAATACTCCAATGCCTTCTGGCATGTGCTGGCAGCAAGACTGGCTTTTGTAGTGGTTTTCCAGGTAATCTCAAAGCCTATAACTCTCCGTTACATTTTCGTGTGGTGTGCAAAATTATTATTTGCAGAATTCAGCATTTATTAGGACTTTAAATTATGTAAACTGATGTATCTTTCTCATATATACAATCATTAGTATAATGATACAGTTATGCCATATATGTTCAAGCTAACTTTTCACATTTCACAAAGGCTGTAATGTTATACATACATGTATGAACAACTGTAGCATATGATAAAAGACACTGTATTTTCCTGAATGTTAAAGGTCACACCATGCTTTATTTATTAAATTTTAATTACTTATTTATTTAATTCATCTTGATACAACTGGGTAGCTCTTTCAATTAGACAAGTTGCTTTAACTTCTTTTCCCTGTTTCCTTAGAACATCACCTTCTCGCTGACTCGGTTCCTTGACCTTCTGATTCCTGACACCTCGTACGACCTTCAAGACGCCATCAAGATGGAGGAACAGCTAGTCAGCCGCGCCATCCTGGACTTCGAGCTTCAGCGGACGAAACAGCGACAGCGGCATAACCGCTTCAGGAGACAGATGACTGCACCACCAGGTAAAGCGATACCAAAACACGTCATATTTATTATGAAATAAAGACTAAGCTTTAACTCCCAATTCTGTAATCTAAGTGTTGGAAGTTAAAGCTTAGTCTTTATTTCATAATGACTTGTACTAACACATGTACAGATGAACTTTCATGCTTGTCACATTTATGTTTACCGAAGGAAAATAGTGTTTTGGCTATGTTTCCTCTTCTTCTTCTTCCGTTCCAAACACTGACCTCTGACCTTACCAATGACCTGATTTGTTGACGTCTGTCACCATAGTAACTGGTGTTGGGTTACATAATGTTGCAATTTTAGGAGGAGGGATTTATACTCCTGTCTGACCATATATATGAATATGAGTAAGAGTTAACAGAGCAGACCATATGTGAAGGTAAACATCATGTATTTGCTTTGCAAATGTTACCTTAAATTTCTAGTGCAGATTGCATCTTCTTTCTTTTCTTTTGTCACCCTCATTACATTATGGGTTTTGTGCACGTGCAGTATGTTCTGCCAACATGCTGTTAGAGTCTCGAGTCTTAAACAGTCACTTTTTCCATTCTTTTAGACGAAGATGAGCAGCATAGTCCAACACCACCAGGTATGGAAGAATTCCCCTAAACTTTCCTTAACTTCCACCACCATCGCCATATAGCTTTTGCCCACTTCCCTGAGATTTCCAGCATTTTTTTTTTCATCTCTTTATGGTGATCCTTCTAGTGGGTTCAAGTTTCAAAGCTGATGAATGATTGTTTTTTAATTTATATTTATCATCCACTGACATGAACTTTTTTAGGGCTTCTTCCCAGTTCTCCTATAGCTAGCTGCCCCTTTCAGCTGTTTTTTTTTGTACCAGGTCTTTAAGGTGTTTTTTATAGTATAATTTGCATTTGATTGATATTTTTTTTTTACATTTTTAACTTTTTACACTCTTTTTGTAGCAGCACGTGGTGTCCATGCTTTCTATGTCACCAGTCAGTGGGTATCGCTTCTTTTGCTAACAGCTGTTCTAGTTGTCTCCTTAATTGTCTGGCTTGTACATTTTGTACTTCCTAACTTCCCTTGTTTCCCATTGTGTAGCACAGTGCAGTCTGCCAGTTGGTTGTAACAACTTTGCTTCTTCCATTTTACTGTTTTGTGTTGTTTGTATCAATAGTATCATGTTTTACATGTACATGTATGTAAGAAAGCATACTGTGGCTCTTGTAGAATGATACAATACCATTAGTCTAGCTGTCATAGTGGAATGAGTATTATCCTGTGAACCAGTCAGAATTGCCCTGAGGAAGGTGACAGACGGTCATCGAAACGTCGGCTGAATAAAAGACTTGCTTGTGTAAAAAAAATCTCTTTACTCAGAGTAAACTATTATCCTTGTTGAGAAGTATTGCAGCTGACTAGGTCCACATGTGTTTTGTGTCTAGGTCCATCGTACCATTGTTAGGTATACGTCTGTACACAATTTCACGTATGTGTAAGTATGATCATGGTAGATCTGGATCTGCAGATTTTTGCGCACAAATTTGAAAATTGTATACAAAAAAAGAATTACTAGTTGTCAAGTCCAAACATTTTCTTCAATATATGATGTTATATTAAAAGTTATTCTATTGGTACAAAAATCTGCAAATCCAAGGTTGTTTACTAGTCTGTGTGTCCAGGATATCAGTAGTTTTAGCTCATATATAACTGCTGGTGCCATACATTAGGTGTGTGTAATAACATTGAGTTTCTTTCTGTTCCCATAGGTGGCCATACTGATAACGTTACATGATGTAGTTTTACATTTATGTAACCTGTCAGCATTGCTTAATTTTGTCTCCAGATGCTATGTGTTGTTGCTTTCATGTAGCCTGGTTGCCAAGCCTATTTTTTAGCTGCCAAGCAATTGCAGAGAGGACGAAAGAGCTTTGGCAGCTAAAATAGGAGGGCCTGCATGGGGGTAGTGATTACGAATTACGTTAAATTCTCAGAGCTGATTACGACTTTACAGTTACGGTTTGGGAGGCTGCCTACAGAGTACGAGGACTAAAAAGGCCTGATTACGCCTTACAGAAAAGGGCATGCAGGCCCCCAAATAGTTACACAGGTTTGGTAACCAGGCTAGCTTTCATGTTGTGGTTGAGGTGGTGTGTGTGATGTTGGCATCATTTTGTATATTCCCTCCCCACTTGCTTCAATAATTGTTAACTTTGCTGTGTGTTTCTTGCACACCAAACAAACAAACAAACAAACAAACAAACAAACAAACAAACACAGGCATTGTACATGTGGTGGCCATATACAGTACTGCATGCAATTGATATATGTGTATAATATGCAACAGGGCTCTTACCAGCTCAAAGGTTTTTCCATCAGCCCAGGTTCATGATCAGACCAAGGGGTGAGAGTGCTCGCAATCTAGGGGCTCCGTAGGCAAATTTTTCAATTGAGCCTTTAAAAACAAAATTTCCCACATTTTGAGAAGGAACTCATGTTGTTGGGAGTGGATATTGCATATGGTTATATTTTTCACCAAATGTTTTTGGCAGTTTTGTCAGTCAAGGTTGACGGATTGGTTTTGGAAAGAAAAATGGGTGCTGGCTAGATCCCTGATATGCAAACTTCAAAAATTACATCTTTCTACTATTATATTCTATCTTTCTTGTTGCCATAGCAACTCCAGACCACCATGTTGACTCATGGGAAGCGAACCTACACAAGAGAGTTTCCGGTATCAGCCCGTCACGGTCCCAAAGTTTCAATCCAGGCAGAGGTCAAGGTCGAGGTCAAACCAGTGGAACATCTTCTGATTATGAGTCAACAGTATAAGGAACAAGTCATCAACGCTACCAGAAGAAATTATTTATGAGAATTGACTACCGGTATATCTGTTTAAAGTTAAAATTTTCGATCCGACACAAAAATTCTCTCACCTAGAGCTTTCCTCCAGTCACTCTGGTCTTCCTCAGTAGACTTACCCAGTGAGGCTTGTCACGTGGCTTCTTTGAAGTGTGACGTCAACACTGGGTCAAAGGTATCTGGTAGATGCCACGATCTTCAAAGAAGCCACGTGACAAGTCTCACTGGGTCAGTCTACTGAGGAAGACCAGAGTGACTGGTGGAAATCTCTAGGTGAGAGAACTTTTTGTGTTGGATCAAAAGTTTTAACTTTAAACATGTAGCTACCGACAGATTAACTTTCATGATAGATTGACTCATTGGGACAAAAACTTCTCATTGTTTGTTGCTAGTGTTTCTCAATCCCAGTAGACAATCAAGCAAAGTCTAAGTCTTTTGCCAGACAAATCAAGAATTCAAGATTGTACATTGTATATTAACTTTCATTCTATAACCAATACAGCTGCCAAAATGCAAGCTCAGAAGAGAAGGTAAACTATAATTCAGTTAGTCTTAAATAGCACATACCAGAATGAAAAGAAACCATACTGCAAATCGCATGCTCTGATGACAAAGAACAACTGTGGAATGTACCTTTAGTACTTGAATTGTAGACTTCAGTACACTGTATGTGTAACATACAAATGGAGTCGATATAATACGTCTTGTTGCCATGCTGTGGTACATGTTATATCTTTAAGACTCTAGCTTTGTGTTATGCTACATTCTCAGACTAACTCTACTCAGAGTTTTATCTCAGTTTATTCAAGTAATTTTCAAATGTTGCATGTCTGTATATATATATATACTTTTATATAGTTTGTTGCATGATATTTTAGTGTCAAATCCTTAGCATTATTTATTTAAAAAGTACATGTAACACTGAAAAATTTGATAGCTTTAACAGTGTACATGTATTATATTTGTTTTAAGGGTTTTGTGCTGCATGGTTGATATTGAATTTGTTGCATGAATTTTATGCGCCAATGTCTTGCCAAATATATCTTGACAGTGAAATTAAGAATATGAACACGAAATAATGTGTGAAAAAATTTGGTTATACAAATTTTACAAAGAAAGAAGTGATTAAATCATGTGCTGTTCTTACTTGGAGTCTTCTGTGGTGATTTCTTTGAACGACCACTGTCTTTGAATCTTTGATTGCCACTCACAAAAATGTAATACAAGCAATCAGAAATATTCATAATATTATGAAAAGGAGGATTATAACAACATATTGGTTGATTATGTTTACCGAAGGAAAACATCTTGTTTTTGCTCATCTTATCCAAACCAAAAAGGTAACTGACCTGAAACCAGACGTCTGTTACCATGGTAACTAGTGTTGGGTTACATCATGTTGCAATTTTATAGCAGGAGAGATTTAGACTCCTGTCTGACCATATATATGAATGTGTTTGAGTAAGAATCAACAGAGCAGACCATATGCGAAGGTAAACATTATGCATTTGCTTTGCAAATGTTACCTTTCTAGTCAGTACTTAATATCATTGAACTAGATTAAAAGCTAGTAAAATCTTAAGACATTACACCCAACATCTGCTTGGAGATTTTACCGACATACGTCATAGGTCAAAGGTGAAGGTTTGAGGCACACCCGTCCTTCCACCTGCCCTTACACACCTGACTGACTCAGCCACGCATGCGCCAGGCGACAACAACAAAGACGAGCCGGCAGGACCCACACACCTTCCGTCCTGGGACGTCCTGATCCAGATTTTTCCTCAAGTTTTCCTTCCGGAACCTTGCAGAGAGTCTCCAGATCTTAAGGTACTTTTCTGGGCATGTAATACTATATATCATATACTGTATGGATGTTTTTGTATTCAGGAAACAATTCTCAACAACCTAGTACAGACCGGATGGTTTTAATCTCCAAGCAGATCTTTTGGTGGCTTCAAAGACAGTATCAAATTGGCCAGGCATCCGTTTGCCAGACAGTTACCACTTGCCACCAGAAACGTAAAAGAAGATATTAGTACAAGAAAGAAAGACCGATAAAATCGCCTAAAAACACAAAAAAAAATATGACGAAACCTAAACCTCTGCTTGGAGAGTTGATGGTTTATGTTCTACTGATATGCTTCGGTTACTTTCAATATCACACGTTATTTCCCTTGAGCGTCGTTATAGCGCTGTTTGGAATGAACTCGGTGATGAAACTGCGCAGTGAATATATATTCACTGCTCAATTTGTACATGTAAGGGACATGGTGACTGGGATATACCAGGGAATGTTCACATCGTAAACTGTTCTTCTACTGGGCGGAAGCGATAACAAGATAATTATGTGGCAAATATTTGATACACTCTGATATCTCTTATTGTGTCGCCATTTGGAACTGTTAGACTCGTATCAAATAACCGTTAGTTTAAGAAAAATGTTTACTGTATGCACGTGCATTTGTGATTTTTAAGTAGAATACTGTGAGTCAAGTTGGCCCGCTTTGAATTTGACAAATTTAAATCTGTTGTTGTTCAGTATCTCTTTAAGTCGAAATCAGAGTGCTATTTGAGATATAATGTCAGCTTCGAATTTCTAATTCCGATTTGTAACTTTCAAACTAATTATTAATGTATAAAGAAAGAAAATACCAGTACAATTTGAAGGCAAGGAATTCTACGGTATATTTTTGTCGAATCATACAATTAATTAAAATGTACTGCATCAGGAAATATCAAATCAAATCGGCTTGCTTAATATTAATAATAATAATAATAATATTATTACCCAAACTTTCACACATATACAAATGAAAAGAAAACCACTCTCCTCTTAACATCCGAAAACCCACAAATTATAGAAAAAGTGGGATCCTCTGTCTTCCTCTGTCTTCAAAAAAGAAGTCAAACCCAGTAGTTTTTACTAGTAGTTTCTTAGTAGTCATCAATAGTTCTACATGTATATGTACTATTTGCCTGTTTTTTATACCATATTTCTTCTGTTTCTGCAATTAGCCCTCGGGCAAGAATTTGCAATAAACAATTATAATAATAATAATAATTTTCTGAAAACTCGTAAAGCCTTTCAATTTTGTTTTGGAATGACAATTATCCTCACACAATTTGGTACAGACTCACGAAAAATGAGCAGCTGAGATTTTCTACTTGACCGGAATCAAATCCAATTTGCTGCATCGTTAATTCACTACTTCTAGTTGCTACCATCAAACTCCCTCGACGCTCTCTCATTGTCCATTCGCGTGCAAAAGACAGGTAGCGCACTGATGCCATGAGTGAAGAATTCCCATCGTTGGCAAAGCTGTCAGTCATAATTCTTGCTACTATCCGTTATTTTCTTAAACTTAAACCTGGACGAAGTGACCAACAATAACCACATTCCCCTCTGACTCGATGAAAATGTTGATTTCTTGGCCCTCCATGACCTTTGCTTACAGGTGGACACAACGCCATGAAATATTTAATGTTCTTTTGTAGTGATGATAGAATTTTTGATGATGTTTCCTTATTGTCTTTGACAGCCCGCACGTTGTGATGAATGGATCACCATTGTTTGGAGTGTTTGCTATACAGCCTAAGCAGAGAGATACGGGAATTTTCTAGAAATAACGGTTGGGCGGGGGGGGGGGCGAACATATTCCTTTTCATGTCGCAACAACAACATCTGGTAACATCTTCAATGATAATTCATATCGTATTCTCACTTTCTCACTATACCTACGTATATTTCAATCGAAGTTTCACAGTGTAATATTAAGTGATGATACGTGTACGCATCATGCATTTGCTAATCTACTTGTTTCTGAAACTTAATGTAGTATGCAGGGAAATTGTTACTCAAGCAACTGGATATATTTTGAAAAGCCGGAGGCTAGCCATTTCCTTTTAAAAACCTGAACCAGACGTCTGTTACCATGGTAACTAGTGCTGGGTTACATCATGCTGCAATTTTATAGCAGGAGGGATTTAGACTCCTGTCACCATATACATATATATATGAATGTGTTTGAGTAAGAATTAACAGAGCAGACCATATGAGAAGGTAAACATTATGCCTTTGCTTTGAAAATGTTACCTTAAGTTTCTAGTTAATTTTATTCATATCCAGGGCATGAGGATGGGACGTTGTTGTGACGAGGTTTGGAGGAGTTTATCCTGGTACCGGTAGCGGGCCTGTGACGTAGTCTGTGACGTCATGAAGACGTGTTGTGGATGCTGCAGCCTCTACACAGGCGTCATCATTACTGCTGTTTACTTCATGGTACATCACACTTTTTGTTTGTTTGTTGTTTGTTTGTTTGTTTGTTTGTTTGTTTGCTTGCTTGTTTGTCTAGGATCTCCAGTACTATTATAGTGTGGATTTCACGCTTTTCCCACCCTGTCGTCCAGGTTTTCAACGCTGGCGTTGCATTCTGGGAGTGGACGAATATCAACAGATTACGTGAACTAAACTCCACAGCCGACGAAGACCGTGAGTAAAAAAAACATTTTAAATAATTGTTTTTTAAGTCGACGTCACACCGTAAAAAACTTTGTATTATACCTGCATTATATAACGTTTTTGCATAAAAGTTTCCACATATAATAAGTTGCTGTTGACAATTGTACAAAATGTATTTCAAGAAAAAAATTGCTGTATCGAAAAAAACATGCTTATATTAGCATGAAAGTTCGTGTGTGTAAGGCCCAATTTACTCAGTGTTGGTCAGAACATTAGCCTTTTTGTCATAATGAAAACATTCTTCTTCTATTTTTCCCAGTCATCACACCATCCATCTATGGCATGTACCTGTACCGTTTATGTACAAGCATAGTTGCACAAGTAAAATAACTGCTGTAGGTGATTGTAAGCAGAAATGGATGTGATAAGTTCTGAAAACAGAGAACATGCTTATTATCTTGTATATTTTCCCAGTCATCACACCGTCCATCTATGGCATGTACTGTGAGATGGCAGTACTCGGAGTGGTCGGGCTCTTATCCATTGTGCTTCTCTTCACTAACATATTGGTGAGTTCATGTCAAATCATACATAGCACAATGGTGATTAGCTAAGGTCTAGAATATGCTTATGCCATTTATTAGATTAGACTAGACTTATTAGATTAGATTAATATTAAATTAAATTAAATTAAATTAGATAATATTGGACAGACAATCTGATGTTCCACTCAACTTCTGGTAAAGACATACGTTTTGCTCATTCACTAGAGAGAGAATGATCGTTTGATCATAAAGTGCATATGTGTCTTCTTACCATTATTGTTAAATATTAAAGGAGATAATTTGCATAAAATCTAAATTCTCCCACCATATCGAAAAATCGACAGATATGTAGTATCAGTATGTGTTAGTTTAATTTAGATTTCCCTATTGTCGTACTTAATTCAATACACACATGAAACACAGAAGAACAGACAGATGCTGAGTACTAGTTAAACATGCATATTTTTGTCTCTCCCTGTTTTAGAACAAGCGGGCCGCCATGTTCCTGTGGATATTCGGCGTCTCTGTACAGATTATTGTGGAATTCTGGCTGGTAACGATCATGTATGTCTTCTTCTTGGAGAGGGTAAGTGTAACAAGTCATTCATTGTATTAGGAATGTTTAGGTAGGAATACTGCGTATTTGGTGGCTATTGAAACGATGCACAAGTGTACAGCGACGCCAATCGGGCTCAATTGGTACTGCAGCATTATCTACTATGACATGGCTATTTTCTCTAGATGACAATAAGCACTGGCTTTTACAATTTGTATCGTGCAACAAAATATGATATTAAAACTGCAGACACTCCGAAATGAGAGTGGCAATATCACACAATTTATGTATTCAGCACATTATTATATATTCATGGTAAATATCTACCGTCTGTTTTCTTATGCTGCGTATAAAGGACAACTTAGCTAAACGCGTAGAGGAGACAGGCTACGGCACATGTCTGTCACTACAGGTAACCATAGTAACGTGACGTGTGATGACGTGTTCTAACGTTACATCCTGACATTTCTGTCGAAATGTTTTGCCATGCAATGATACCTTCGATATCTCATAATCCACGACTTGCTTGATGTAGAGAATGGTTTTCAAACATAATTTAATAAAGATGATTTATTTAAAAAATGTATACTTTTATCTCCAGACGGTAGATTGGAAACCGATTCCACTTATAGACAACAAGATTCTGTCCTTCATCGGAGGTGGTTTCGCCCGTGGGATTCTTCTCGTTATCAAGGTAGGTGTGACAATTTGAGTCGTGACCACAATAATGGTCTGGTATTCTCCCAAAAAGAGTTTTAAAAACTTATAACCCTATGAGACACTTTTTCCTGCATATGGAGGTACAAGTTTGTAAAATTGTATTTTCCCTCTGTTCCTTCCTTCTAATGTCAAATTTTGAATCTAAAGATTTATGAAGGGTTACAATATTCTCTCCAAAAAGGAAAAACCCCTACGCTGGTTGAAAGGCAGTGTAGTGGTCCAAATCAGAGTGTAGGGGGTCTCACTCGAAAAGCCTAGTGATCATGAGAACCCTGATATGATACATACAGCTGCAGTGTTCACGGTGTATAACCCTTGTTTTGTTCCAGTGCTACTGCCTGCTATGCGTGTCTTGGCGGACGGGCGAGCTGAAGAGAAGACAAAAATACCTGGAGGAGAACCAGATTCACTTCAGACCGGTGATTTATCTGTTTTTATCAGATATTTTCTCCTAGTCAGACTTTTGTAGCCTGGGTGACATCCGATCGTTGTAACGGCAATCCCGGCTAAGAGTATAAAACACCTGTTTTGAAAGAGTACGAGTAATCGTAAATTATAAATACATTGATTTTCAAACAAATAAACAAACAACAACAGACATAACACTAAAGTCGATAATGGTAGTGTGTGTCTTATAAAGATAATTTGAACAAATGAAACGTTTCAAAGTTTCTAAGGCATAAGATGGCGAATATAGAAGCCATTTTAGTTTGCTTGTGTAAGGTGTATAGACGTTGTTATTTTAAATCATATCTACTGCTAACACAATATTTACGATACCTGTGTAATTCTTACGATTTCTTTGTCGTTCTCTTTTTTCCCCAGGGAGGCGGTGACCCCTACACGGACCCGTACATCTACCGCGGCACGGCACCTCCCAACTACGCCCCTCCCGGCCGTCCCGGGTACTTCAACTCACGCCCTCCGCCGTAGGTCGCACGTTTTATACAGAACTTTATTGACATGACTTAACTTGAACTAGAAAGGTAACATTTGCAAAGCAAATGCAAAATGTTTACCTTCGCATATATGGTCTGCTCTGTTAATTCTTACTCGAACACATTTGCATATGTGGTGACAGGAGTCTAAATCCCTCCTGCTATAAAATTGCAACATGGTGTAACCCAACACTAGTTACCATGATGACAGACGTCTGGTTCAGGTCATTGACCTCATTTGTTTGGAGAAAAAGAAACAAAGCAAAGCCAATATGTTCTCCTTCGGTAAACATAAATATAGACACACAAATACAACAGTTATAAGAAACAACCACTTGTCAATCGAAGGCAGGCATCTCTTGCTCCATGTATCATCAGTATAAAATTTTGAGAATTAATCCCAAATGTTAGCGTTGCAGTCGCTAATAAAATGTATTTTACATTCCTGTTGCAGGAGTATTGACGAAGAGTCGCCTCCATCCTTCACTAGCGGCTCGGAAATCAAGATTCCGCGCCCGAAAGTCTACCGGTGACGTCTACAACCGTTTTGATGACGCACGTACCACCGTTTTGATGACGTCAGGTCTTAAAGTAAAACTGAGCTCTTCTATATAAAAGAGCATCAAATGGCCTCCGGGATTGAGGCCTTTATCGGAGAATTAAGACCTGGTGAACTTAAACAGTGCAATACAACTGTATAAGTTTTAAACTGCTCTAAGATCCAGGTTTGAATGCCCATGTAAATCACGATGTGTCTAAATGTCACATGTATTACAGAGTGTACAGTGAGGCATCAGAAGATCTCGTATTAAAGATAATCGACAAGATACACAAACCGTCATCAGAAAGTAGTAACTATACACAAGGGACCGACAATGGTATCGGTTAATTGATGTACCATAGGAGCAATTCATTGCTATATCACCGTAGCTATGTGATATCTCGAAAAGTCGTTTGATGTACAAAATACATAATTTTTGGTTGATGCAGATGTTTCTACTGTGAATGAACGAAAGTTAAAAGTTTATTTATTTCACGTAAAGTTAGAAGTAGGCACAATAGAAAGTTAGAAAATCAGAACCAAGTGGAAATGATGACGAAATGAATGAGTTGTTGCTCCTTGTATCACTGTTACTGAAAACACAGTACTAGTGGGATAGATATTATGCGACGATTCAAAACGTGTACTGTGCTGTGTGCAAGTCAATGTTAACGGTTTATATTATGTGTTTACTCATACTGCTAGTAGAAAATGTGATTTCGTCCGCGTGATGCAATGTCTGTCATCGTTCCACCTGTAACTACAGTTTTCAGTGAAAAAAAAATCAGAGTGTAGTTTATTATATCATTGAATGTTTGTGTGCAATAAAGTAAACAAGCGGCGTATATCATGGCTATGATTATCTAAATTATCTATGAAAAGAGAGAGAACGACAAAAATCACACCATGCCAACTGTTTTATTTCATCCCACCACCAACAATCGTGAAGTTAGACACATCATGAGTGTACTTTTGTTGTCTACTATTCACGTCTTCAAACACGGAGTTTTGCTTCAGGAACAGCCGTTTCTCCGTCAGTTGGACATATCATGAGTTGGCCTCACTTCTCGAAGGCTGTAAGCAAAAATATTGATGTCAAAAGATGCTTCATTTGATTATTGCTTTATCACCCCCATCAAACTCCTTTTAAGCCGTACCCGGAAATTCAAGCCGTACCCGCTCAAAAATTCTGGCCGTACCCGGAAATTCTTGGCCGGCCGAGCGAAGTGTTCTCAAGATTGGGCGCGATTTGTAAGACGCCATTCGGCAGGTAGGTGGCCAGGAATATTTACCAAAGCATAGGCTATACGAGGTTGTGTATCGTTGCCGTACAGGGTAGTTAGACACGACTTCGAATTCCAAGTGACTACGCACCGGGGCTGAGCGATATCCGCCATTGGGTACGGCGAAAAAGTACAGGGTAAGGCACGAATTTTCGGGTACGGCCAGAATTTTTGAGCGGGTACGGCTTGAATTTTTGAGCGGGTACGGCTTGAATTTTTGAGCTGGTACGGCTTGAATATCCGGGTACGGCTTGAAAGGAGTTTGATGGGGGTGTTTATCCCACATTATGTAACTCATCCACCGAGTTTGCCTTTCTGGTTTAATACTACCACCTGTTACAAATATTTCAAAGTTAGTGAGCCACATTTCCTTACAAGTTCCGTAAATTAAAGAAAATCCCAAAATCATATTTAGTCTCTTGGTCTTAGTAAGTAAAACTCGTGAATATTTTCCGTGAATAGTTTCATCAGGTTGGTAAGTCACTGAGTGAAGAGACTCTTTTTACACAACCAATTCTTTTTTTTTAATTCCAACATTTCGTGACCGAACATGGCGACGGCACACTCAAGTTCTATTAACTTATTCTATGCCGCCACCAACACAGAGTACAAATACGGGACAGGACAATACTCAATTTCACTTGAGTTAAGTGAGGAAATTCGTAAAAAGTGCCTTTCCCAAGGGCACAAGATCGGTGGCATGTCAGGACTCGAACCCGTGACCGCTTGGTTCCGAGTCGAGAACGCTGCCGCTACGCCACACGACCCCTCAACATAGCCTCCGTAGCAGGCTTATAGAACTGGGGGTTTGGTGGTCTTCGGCTGTTTTCTGATTAGCCAAGTTCAAAAAACGGAGGTAATTCAGCCAGGCCGGCTATGTTGTCTATATGCAATCAGAAAATAGCACATAAAAGCTCCCAAAGACCATGAAGACACCCAAAACCCCAGTTTTTGGCATGCTATGGAGGCTACCCTCACCAAGTCTTTTATTCAGCCTATGCTTCGGTGACCGTCTGCCACCCTCCTCAGGGCAATTCTGACTGGTTCACATTGGTGGAAGTCTTTAGTCTGGTTACCAAACCTATTATAGCTCCCGAGTCCTACATCCTACTTGCGGAGAGGATGTAGGACTCGGGAGCTATAATAGGTTTGGTAACCAGGCTAGGAAGTCTTACCGTCGTAATCCTCCTGTGCCCCTGTAGCCCACTCAAGCCAGCTCCTCAGCTGCTGGAACAGACCGCGAGTTTCCATCCACCCTCTTTTGTCCTCTGTAACACATGCATGGAACACTTATATCTCTGTCTGCATGGCGACGTACGCAGGGGTGCAGAGTATACAGTGCAATACTACGGAGGACAGTGCAATTTTACGGAATACAGTGCAATCTTACTAGTATACAGTGCAATTTCACGGGTACAGTGCAATCTTACTAGTATACAGTGCAATTTTATGGAATACAGTGCAACTTTACGGAGGACAGTGCAATTTTATGGAATACAGTGCAATTTTTCGGAATACAGTGCAATCTTACTAATATACAGTGCAATTTTACGGAATACAGAGCAATCTTACTAGTATACAGTGCAATTTTACGGAACACAGTGCAATCTTACTAGTATACAGTGCAATTTTACGGAATACAGTGGAATCTTACTAGTATACAGTGCAATTTTACGGAACACAGTGCAATCTTACTAGTATACAGTGCAATTTTACGGAACACAGTGCAATCCTACTAGTATACAGTGCAATTTTACGGAACACAGTGCAATCTTACTAATATACAGTGCAACTTTACAGAATACAGTGCAATCTTACTAGTATACAGTGCAATTTTACGGAATACAGTGTAATCGTGTTAGTATACAGTGCAATTTTACGGGATACAGTGCAATCGTGTTAGTATACAGTGCAATTTTACGGAATACAGTGCAGTCGTGTTAGAATACAGTGCAATCGTACGGAATACAGTGCAATCGTGTTAGCATACAGTGCAATTTTACCAGTATACAGTGCAATTTTACTAGTAAAATTACACCCTTTTTATACTCCTGCCTGATCATATGAATATATATGAATATATAGTCAGTAATACATAATGGACCTTTAAAGCAATTGTATAAGGAAACATTTCATCGTGATCATGAACTTACCCACGTCACAGTTTTTCCATTTGCCCTCAAAGACCGGAGTTAAAGAGCACCAGGCACGGCCATACTTATGGTTGACGGTGGTGCAGGAATGGTAGATTTTTCCTTCATACTCAAATGGAAAATGGCAAGCTGGAAAATAAGGAAATGAGTAAAAGGCATGAGGAGGGCGACTGTTTAACGACCCATTTCTGTGCCTAAAACACGCCTAGCCTCCGTAACAGGCTTATAGGACTGGGGGTTTGGTGGTCTTCGGCTGTTTTCTGATTAGCCCAGTTCTAACGGGGATAAATAATTCAACCAGGCCGGCGATGTTGTCTATATGCAATCAGAAAATAGCACACAAAAGCTCCCAAAGACCACGAAGACCCCCCAAACCCCCAGTTTTTGACATGCTATGGAGGCTAAAACACGCCAACACTCTGCCCAAGTCAATAATATATAATTTAGCTGTGTTCGTCATCCTCGCTTGACATCACTGAGGCGAGGCCTGCAAGAGGCGAATCAGAGAACCAACAAATCAAATTGGTGTGGCTTAACGCCTTAAGGCATCCAGTGCAGTTTTTAGAGCTTGGAAACCCGATTTTTCAAAGCCAATATTCCAGTCATTTATCTACATACAGAGTTGAAAACACACTATCCCAATGTATATTGACATTCATGGAGAAGAAAAACCCAAAATTCTGACAGAAAATGGTTACTGGAAGGGCCCTTGGCTGATTTTTAGGGTACCATCCATAACATAAAGGACTCATCTTGGGGCTTGTTTCTTCGGTTTTAAAAGCCCAAAGTATGAAATACTGACTCAAATGTGCTAATGTGAAGCAGTATGTGTCAATATCACAAAGATTGCCTTATTCAAAATATTTCCAGTTTTGCTGCCCTGAAATCACACTGGATGCCTTTTCAAAAGCAGGCCTTTAAGGAAAAAGGGCATACAAGCCCTCATACCTCCTTTGGGTCCTTTGTGTCTGCGCCTGCGCGCCCATCCCTCGGAGTTGTCAATCAGCGTTACCATGACAACCATAGTGACGAGCAGAAAGCAGACAGCCTTCGAATTCATGACGTAGCTTCGAAAAAAAATACTAATAAGAAATACATATTTTGTAGTCGTTGATTTTGATTTGATTTCTTGAAAAAGTAACAATATAATACACGTGGGACACAGACAGCTGTCGCTGGTGTTGTGTCCCAGTGTTCCACACTAACTAAAACATGGCAAACCTCATTTTCACTTGAGTTAAGTGATGAAAGTCGTGTAAAATTAAAGTGCCTTTCTTCACAAGATCGGAGGCATGCCAGCACTCGAACCTGGGACCAGTGGGACCTCTTGGTTCCGAGTCGAGCACTCTGCCGTTAAGCCACACGATCTCACATAATAGTCGTTATTCGACTCTACTCTTTTTACACTACACGTTTAATATAATGTACGAAATGCTATGGCTTCCACAAAAGATGCATTTATTATCTGTTATATTAGATACATTCAGCTCATATGACTTACATTTTCGTGGTCGGTTTTATGCAGAATATTTCTGCGAATGCAGCATCTACAGTAAGTTCTAAAAGCTAAAACTTTTAGCTTCAGCTTAATTTAGTCTTTTTTTCGTAAAAGTTAACTTTTAGTTTCAGTTTTAGTTTGATTTTAGCAAGAGAAGAGCGATGTGAGTGACCACGGTTGCACGAAAAACAGCTAGCATCCTCGCAGACTTGTGGGGCGGTGGCATACCTACTCTCCAAGCAGAGGGTTGGGTTTGGGGTTATTTTTTGCGTGTTTTTAGGCTTTTTTATCGGGGTTTCTCTTTTGCACTGGAAAAAAATCCATTGCAAAAGAGAAACCCCGATAAAAAAGACTAAACGCTAAAAATAACCGTCCCTCCCCTAGCCTCCTTCGCAGACTCGTTGGGCGTCGGCGTTATTTTTTTTCTGTGAGCGACGCGAGTAATATGCCGCGCGGAGGGACGATTTTGCTGCCGAGGAAGTTTTTGCCGTGGAGAGGTTTCCCGCTCCAACAACGGCAAAATCTCCCTCAGCAGCAAAATCGTCCCTCCGCGGCATAACTCAAGTCGCTCACAGAAAAAAATAACGCCGACGCCCAACAAGTCTGCGAAGGAGGCCAAAATAATAGCGTGTTTTTTAGTAGGGCTGAAAAAGACACACTCCCGAGCAGGGAGCAAAGGCGTAGCCCTTTGGGCGGCGACACTGACCCTGCTCGGGAAAAAAAGATTGATTTACCTACCGAATAGTTGTCCCGAAATTTGGAAGTGGCTTGCTTCTGAGGACGACGATGAAGGAATGAAAAAACACTGGTGGTGTCAACCATAAATATTCTACTGTGCACCGCAATTATATCCATTAATTACAGTTCGTGGTTTGTATCATAGGTAGACTAATAGTAAGTTTAATACTAGTAATTTTCGATCATGGTAAATTGACCTTTGGTCACAATGATAGTTGTGTTATTGAATTCGAAGTGCCATATGTTTTAATTTGAGTACTTTAGACTATGTTGGTTTAGTCTCTACCAGACTAACTACTCTGGCTATATAGAGAATATTTGCCGGGGGAGTTTGGCCGCCTTGGGGTTTGGCCGCGCAGAGGGATAGACTGAAACAACCTTCCGCGGACTCCCTGGCCAATTCTACTCTCTTTTTGTCGAATTCTACGATCCGTATTCCCGTAGAAAGGCTTGGTACATGGCGGAGGCTAATGCTTTGAGTGGAAGGTAATGTTTTGAGTTTTGAGCTGCAGATGTTTCAGATTGACATATCACAAACCCGTAGGGACTGTATTAATACTTGTGTGCGCCTTAGGCTATAAACTTCCAGTGCACGTAATTTGTAAAAAAAAAAAAAAAAGGTTGGATCCTCTTTTAATTACAATGACAGCCGCCCTTTTTTGAATAGGTTGAAGGGACGCAGAACTCCTCAGACAAATTACATGCAATTAGCCAGAAATGATCTAACCCTGAGTGTAATAATCTATCAATTAACAAAAAGTCTCAACCTCGCATGGCGGCGTCTTTTGCCATCCTGACAAGACATTTTGTTTATTTGGTTATTTGAATTTACCACAAGATATACAAGTGGAAGGGAGGACAAAACAGGTGCATTGACACCTTTACAAGTTGTCCTCCCAAGGCAAGATGTAAAAGATCTCTTCAGATGAATTGCAAGCAGTTTTCCCGAAATAATTGCTTTCTCATCTCATCTCATCCATCCCCTACCCCCCTCTTCACATTAAGCTCATGAAAATGCACTGGCATTGTCATATACTTTTGCCCCATTCCCACCAGGGTAAAATTGTCCGGATAGAGCCGAACTGATTAGCTTTGATCTGCACCATTTTACTAGTATCTTAGTGGGAATGTGACCCAAGATTTGATTCTCTTTCCATGATATGAAGCAGGCCTCTTGCAATGACAGATCATGATGCTTATGGCTGAAAAATTACAGTGTCTGTAACTTGTGCATTTTTCTTGAAGGGCGTCCTTTTGCAATAGGTAGAAAGAACAACAGACTCCTTGAAATGTCATGCAATTAGCCCAAATCACCCATTTAATGGGGCAAATTAAACAGTGATAATTGATACGTCTGTGTTTTTGGGCCTATAATTCCATAGATGTTTTAATGACCCCAAATGCAAAGCACCTGATTTGCTAATCTCCAAGCAGATCCCTCTCGGTGGCAAAAAGACAGTATCAAATTGGCCAGGCAGTATCCATTACATTAGCCAGAGAAGCTCCGCGGCCACCGACGGTGGGGGTACCGACAAAAAACGGCCATATATAAAAAGGTAACGATCATTCCCCCACAACCTCTGCTTGGAGAGTACTGATTTGCCGTTCCAGAGATGGCTATGTAGGGTTGGCGGCCGGAGCTTCTATTGCGTGCGATCTGCGTTTGATCAGACCCGCCCTCCTAAAAAAAAAAAAAACAAAAGCACCAATCCCAGAGCGTCTGCAAAGGAGGCTACCAGACCATGTGTGTTTGACCGGGGAGTTTTTTTTTAAATCTAGAGTCAGTTTTGAGCGGCTTCCGAAGTAACCCAAGAATGATAACCCTTTAAGCACCTGTGGGTTATTAAGCCACCATTTGCCACATTATTATAATGGATTATCATTTAGGGCTAATTGCATGTAATTTGCAGGTCTGCTTTCTTTTACTCTACTTCAGTGGTCACAAAATTAGCCATTCAGATGGACATAGCAGAGGTTTGGGTTTTGACTTATTTTTGGCGTGTTTTTACACTTTTTTTTTATCAGGGTTTCTTTTTTGCACTGGAATTTTTCTTTCACCCAAACCTTGGTTGGGTGAAAAATCACCACAATCGGATGACAATTTCCTGTATCCAGACATCAAGCTGCCAAAAGGACAAGTTCTCTGTTTTGAACCACAAAGTTTCTACTGAAATTTACATTGATCGAGTGGAAAGAGAGGCATAATATATTTTGAAATTCATACATGTATATGTGTCAAACTGAGTACATCTACATTTTGTAAATGTATTCCTAACAATAGTCAAGACCACAAGACATTTTACTATGGGATGACCTATATTTATTCATTTCACACAGCATAGGCAAATTTTGTGTAAATACAAGTGATGCTTAATTATGAATAGACAAGGTCTTTTGCAAATTCACCTTATATGTAGAAATATGAAAAAAAAACAAGCACACAGGATATAAGTTTTCATATCACTCTTAAACAAAAATGTGTTCCAACACAAAGGCAACAAATAGTTAGTTCTACATTAGCACAATATATTTCATTAGGCCACACCAATTTAATTTCTTGGTTAACGGATTTTTCTAGAAAAATAATGGAGCGGGCGGGCGAAAAAAAAATAAAATAAAAACAGGCCTAGGCATCCTATTATGGCCCAAAGTGGTATGATAGGAGCCATGAAGTCAACACACCAGACTGGTTCAAAATTTAAACAATGATTTTATAACTTTTAATTGTAGCACTGCATTGAAAGATGGAATGACTGTAACAAGTAGTAAGAAAAGGACTGTTTTCAACTGTTCAGGGCAAAATATGAGCATTTTGTAGTTGATTCTGAATTTTTATTTTTATTTGCAAATCAGAAAAAAATGAAGAGGCGAATCCGTTAACCAAGAAATTAAATTGGTGTGGCCTTATGCATAAGATTGTTGTATTCCTAAGTACCACCATTTCACCATGGTTTAGGATGTGTACTTCAGTGTAGGATGATTTGTAAAAATGTCTTCCACAGTTTATGGGTGACAATTAACATTCGGATGAGTTCACTTTGGAGATGGGGGTGGGCAGCCTGCATGTCGCTAGTGAGGATGATCTGGTTGTCGTTGCCTGAAAGCGAAAAAAAAATTAATTGATCAAACATGTTTGGAAAAACAAAAGACCACTACTTTCAACAATTCAAACAAAGAGCTTTTTTGGAGAGTTACTTAGACGACACAGAACTTTGTATTTTTTTCTGAGCTACATGTGTATGTTGTGTATTTTGTACATGAATTATCTTAATGTAATTTTGATATGTAAAATAGAAATCTGAATAAGCAGAAATTTGAACTTGAATATGGGCCATATGATTAGGATGTGTAAATGTGGTTTTGTAGCGTAAATATTTTGAATGTCAGAAGAAACTCAACTGCTGCAATTCCATTCTAAGACTGTGTAGCCACAAATGTTTTTTAACAATACGTCGATGAAGGTTAGACATCCAGGTAATACGATACTGTACGATAATGTTCTGTATAACAGGAGCTTTCAGACTAATTTGCATCATCTTGTCTTGTCTGACTTTTGTTCCTTTTTTGACTTCCAAAAAAAATTGTCTTCACTTTATTTGCATATCAATCAACAGGTTGTGCTTATAAACCTGCTTTCCTCTCTGGTCTCTCAGTCACTGACGAAAGCTAGTAGATACTAGCTGAAACGTCTGACGTTTTCAAAATCATATCCAGTTGCTTGAGTAACTGTTTTTTGGCGTTTTTTAACAATGTATCTATGAACACAATTCAGCCTTTAACCATTTTTTATTGATTGATTGATTGATTGATTACCTGGGCGCTGCCTTGATGACATCATCCACACGGAGAATCATTTCGGCTGCCTCTGCTGCGCTGAGAAGGACAGCACGTTTGACCTTGAGAGATTCCGTGATGCCCAGCTGCTGCATGTCACCGATCTGTCCTGTCTCCATATCTGCAAGGCACAAAGCAGGGCTCAAAATTTACGTGTCTAGATGCAATAGCTCAATTGGTAGAGTGCTCGCTTTGTAACCGGGAGGTCGTGAGTTCAAACCCCGGCCGGGTCATACCAAAGACTTTAAAAATGGTACACACTTCTTTCTCTGCTTAGCACTCAGCACATATGAGAAGTGAGAGTGTGGGAAGGTCAAACACACAGCACTACCAGCGGACTAGCCCCCTGCTGTAGTGCATTGCACAATTGTGTGTCGCCCAAGGGCAACGAAATGGAGATGGGCACCACCCTACGCTCAGCATAAGAGCACGGGAGACCTTCTTTGATGGCCACTGACCACTAAAATTTATTAGGCTGAGACAACTAAAAAGACACAATTGGGACATTTTGGGGACAACAGAACAGTAATCAATATCAGGATGTCAGTCCTTCTTTTCAAATTTGTCTATCAGGCACACGTCCTAGCTTTTGGATCCGGAAGAGTCCCCTGAATTTCCTGTCTACTCTGCAATTATAGTGTGCTCGGGAGTGAACTTAAGCAAAATAGAGTTGACTTCAAGTTGAAGTCATAAGATGCTTCCCAAAAAACAACAGTTCATCCTCACTTTGGGACAATTGAAATTTATTTTTGGGACAGTGTGGGGACAATAGTAAGGAAAGATAATTTCGAGGCCTGACAAAGTTCAGATAACAATCTTCCATAGGCTAGGTGCTCTTGTGGCTAGTTTTGTTGACTCAGAATCTGAAGGTTTGGGGTTTGAATCCCTGGCTACTTACCGATGCCGTAGGTTTTTTTGCCCTCTGCGTGAGCGGCCCGGAGCTCAGACACCAGCTGTGAGCTGTCATACCCCGCGTTGTCAGCGATGATGGTGGGCAGCTGCGGACAGAGGAGAACATTTTAGTTTAGATTCCATGATGCTGTTTTTCTTGTCTGTTTTATACGTGATTTGAGTTTTGATGTATCTGATTTTATTTGTTCCTACTGACTGTTGTTTAGTGAGTGAATGTAACATGTCTTGTAGCTCTGAATAACTTGGATGCTGCATCAGTAAAATAAGTGTCCTCGTCTCCTCCAAGGTACAAATTGGAGGTCAGAAGGATCTATTGGAGTTACCATCATATGCAGTGCAAAGTTGTTAAATATAATTTAACCTTATATATAACTTTATACTCTTTCTTAATAGATAATGCTAATAATTGAAAAACATTCCAGCAGACATAGGAAATACCTCTTACCTGCACTAGCGTAGATATGCAGGTGGTATTTCAAGCCACGAGTGTACTAAAAGGTCTGATGTGTTTTCAAGAACCCTACCTGAGTGAGGGCCCTTCCGAAAGCCTCCATGGCTATGGCTTCCTTCCCGGGAGTTTTCTGGGCCAGCTGGAACACCACGTGTGCCATCAGCATCTCCGACGAACCTGAACAAACAAACAAAAAATAAAGATCCGTAAATAATTTCATCAGGTTGGAAGATACTTAGGGTATTTGCGATTGCATTCTCGCCGCAAAAGCGCCACCTACTTTGGCGTTAAATAGCGGCGAGTTGCAGAACTCCAGTCAGAAGCTCTGAGGAAGGTGTCTGATAGACATCGAAACGTAAGCAGGTGAGAACCTTACTGGTTGTGTAAGAAGAAAATTCTATACCCTAAAAAATAAAGATGTAGCGATCAATCTTCTCTTCTACCATCACAGAAGGCAAATATATAAGCATAAAAACCAGCCTACTTCAGCACTCACAAAATACATGGAACAAATCTTTTGAAATTGCTCTAGTTTTGTCAACACTTCCAAGACATGTAAAGGTTACTTCCAAAAGAGAAGTTAGACTAGAAAAAAATTGCCAGCTACAGAAAAACAAGTGCTTTTAAAAAAGCTGTCATTTGCCAGCGTGGTGTTTTTTTCTTTGAATAAAGTGATGATACACCCTCTGGAAAACACCACATAGATCTGTTATTCTATGAACTTCTCTAATATACAACTATTAGGGTGGCAAACGTAAAAATATTTTTCAAGATTGGTTTCAGATATTACGCATGATTAACATAACAACCATTGCAGATATTTCTTGATCTACAGTATCATGTACCTCCCCCAAAGATGGTCTTGGTCTCCTTGACAGTCTGTGACAGCACACACAGCGCGTCGTGTAAGGAACGCTCCGCTTCGTCCAGAATCTGCTGCGTCGCGCCACGCAGGATCACCGTACACGCCTCGCCTAGTGGAACACCTGCGGGGAACAACCAATCAGGTAAGGCGAAGGTGTTGGTAACAACCAGTCAGAGATCTAATGGAACCTATCATTAGATCGTCACTTCTTCTGACATTTGAGTGAAGAACTCAAGAACAAGAATTTGACAAGATATAGACTTGTGGTTGGAACTTTGCAAACCTGATTTTTAACAAAACTAAATAAAATACAGACTTTATCTTATCTAAAGCTAAAAGACTACTGCACATAAATACTTGTAAGCCTCCAATACATCATTTTAAAAATCAAACCTCACCTATTGACCAATGATACATGTACTAACAAGAATACTTGACCAATGAGATCTTACTTAAGAAGTATATCTGACCAATATGATCTCATCTGACAAGATGCCCACAGGATTCCCACAAGCTGACCAATGAAATGTCACAAGAGAACTGTAACTGACCAATGAGATCTCTGCTAACAAGAGAAGCTGACTAATGAGATCTCACCTGAAAATAGAAACTGACCAATGAGATCTCACCTGACAAGAGAAGCTGACCAATGAGATCTCACCTGACAAGAGAAGCTGACCAATGAGATCTCTCCTGACAAGAGAAGCTGACCAATCACAACTCACCTGAGAAGTGCAGCAGTTTCTCCTCACCAATCATGACCTCCTCGATGAGGTCACAGCGGCCGAGCTTGACCAGGTCAGGACTGTCAAATGTGGACACAATCTCTCCGCCTGTACAGGGAGAAAACAAGATGATGTATCTATAATTAAGCAGGGGTCTCCCCAGGAATTTTTAGGGGAGTGGTGCTACGATTTTTTGGTGGGGCACGCCGTGCCCGACGCCGC